GCTTTTGCTGAACTAGGCAATGAGTGGTCTCTGTCCTTCTGCAAATCTCAGAGTGATCCTTTGATGTGATCAATCAGACTTCAGAACTGTTGTTATGCTGGCCCATTAAACTACTGCAGGCCTTTATGTTATGCAGCAGTAAGCAAGTTTCCATTGTCAGTCAGCAAGAGTTACCACCGTGTGGACATCTGAATGGGGAAAGTAGGGATGGTTCAGGTCACTTTAATTCTGAGGGCATGAAAGCACCATGGCCTCCTTCTTTGCTATACGCTTCTCTGGAAGTTGTGCTTTTTGTGTTTCTTCTCAAAAATGTACTTGGGATCCTAGTCAAAATGTTTAACTCAGTATAAAATGCATTTTGGTACCACAAAGAAGGGCTGGCTTATACAATTAATGGTAGGGCCTCGGGTAGTGTTGTAGAACAGAGGGACCTAGGGGTGCAGGTACATAATTCTTTGAAATTTGTGCCACATATAGACAGGATGGTTAAGAACGCATTTGGCACGCTTGCCTTCATTGCTCAGTCCTTTGAGTATAGGAGTTGGGACAGGACTTTGGTGAGGCCCCTTCTGGAATACTGTGTCCAGTTCTGGTCACCCAGTTATAGGAAGGATATTATTAAGCTAGAGCAGGCTCAGAAGAGATGTGCCAGGATGTTGCTGGGTATGGAGGGTTTGAGTTATAAGAAAGGCTGGACAGGCTGGGAGATTTTTTCACTGGAGCCTAGGAGGTTGAGAGGCGACCTGATAGAACTTCACAAAATAAAGAAAGGTATAGATAGAGTTAATGATAGTTGTCTTTTCCCTCAGGTGGGGAATTTCAAGACTCGGGGGCACATTTTTAAGGTGAGACGAGTGAGATTTTAAAAAAGACATGAAGTGCAAATTTTTTTTACACAGAAGGTGTTTCGCCTGTGAAATGAACTTCCTGAGGAAGTGGCGGATGTGGGTACAATTACAATATTTAAAAGATATTTGGATAAGTACATGAACAGGAAAGATTTGGAGGAATATGGACCAGGAGCAGGCAGGTGCGACCAGTTTAGTTTGGGATCATGTTCGCCTTGCACTGGTTGGACCGAAGGGTCTGTTTCCATGCTGTATGACTCTCTGACTGAAATGGAGAGATCTTGTCCTGCTCAGAGTTTTCAGATGTGAATCTCACATTGTATGAAGTGAAAACTCAGCTTTCAAATGCTGTGGCTGTGTGAAAAGGGTTAAGTGTAAGGTTAAGTGTGAGGTAAACCCATTCGTACAGCAGCAAGCTGTACCTTCTGCCAAGAGAGCTCAAAATAGCCCAGAAAATTTGATAGCTGCCTGCTGCCTTTCGCCCAATTGTTTGCTTCAGGAAGTTGACTATAATTTGCAGGATGTGTTCCAAGTTTCCGGCACCTTGACAGGCCTGTACATCAAGTTCCCAGGCTAGACACAGGAAAAACAATAATCCACAAAGAAAAGAAGTGAATTCAGAGGCAAGTGTTTACTTGCAAAGGTCAGGAAGTGGCACTACCACTACCAGGATTAGAAGCACAGTATAGAATGGCTTTCTTTTGACACTATACCCGGTAAAAGTCGATAAAGTGCATTTGGTTATAGTCTGATGCCTTAGAAAAATTATCGTGCTTTTCCAGTGACTAACCTGAGCCCGTTCCAATTTGTTTATTTTAGGACTCAGGTCATACTGATTTGATGTTTATATGGTTCACGTGCAGAAGGCAAAGAATTAAAACCTTTTAATTGCAGTAGCCTCCTACAGCCCAAGCTGTACTTACAGCTGCCTTTGTTCTCAGTTCTGCAATTCATTCCTAAACCCCTCTATCTCGTGACTTATTTCTCCTCCTTTCAGCTCCTTTTTGAAACCTCCCTCTTTGATAGAGCTTTTGGTCAATTTTGTTTAACACTCTTGTGAAGTGCCTTGGAACGTTTTTGCACAGTAAAAAAACCACAACATAAATACAGAGATAGTAATAACACAGTGTGGAGCTGGAGGAGCAGAGCAGGCTAGGCAGCATCAGAGGAGCAGTTGACATTTCGGGTTGGGACCCTTCTTCAGAAATACAATTTGATATTGACTGTGCAGTGAATTATGGAATTTTACTGCACAGAAGATTATTCAGTTCATGGTATCTGACTCTCTAAAACAGCTTTGCACTCTGTCCCAAGCTCTGCACTCTCTCCCATTTCCCTGCTCTATCCTGATATCGTTACTCTAAACCAACTATTTTCTCTTTTTTTTGAAGCTATTATGGGTTGTGCTTCCATCACATTTTTGGTAAATCCCATGCCATCACAAGCCTCTGCATGAACGATGAAGTTATCAACTTTTTCCTTCTTCCTTTTTGGCCAGAGTCAAACTTGCATTGTCTGGCTGCCATCTTGCTACCAGTTAAATTCTTCATAATGCTGAATAACTTTATCAGATTGAGATTACAGGATTTATAATAATTCCTCATAATTAAACTGTGCGGTCCCTCATGTCACATCTTAGGAAAAGACGTCGGAACATTCGACATGTTTGACATCTTTCCCCAAAACAACGAGACCATGTCATGATATTGTAAAACAAAGTGTGAGATATTCTCTTCATCGATTTTTTTCTCCAAGGACATTTCCATTACCTGCCTACACCATGAAAATTGACTGGTGATTGAAAAATGTTTCATGATCTTAGCCAACCAAGTACTTTTTGAAATGTCCTCTCTATTATAATGCAGTAAATATAGCAACCAATTTGCAGACAGCCTACTCCCAAAAATGACAATGAGATAATTGACAGGATAAGCAGCTTTGATAATATTTGTTTCGGGTTACGCATTGGTCAGGAGGCAGGGCTGAACTCTTCTTTGCTGGGGGAGCGGGGGCTATCAGTTCAACATCTCGCCCATAACTGGCACCTCTGACTGTGTAGCAGTCTCTCAGTGCTGCTCTAAAGTATCGACGGAAATTTTGCACTCCAGTTTCTGAAGCACTTTTGAACTCAAAAGCTTCTTACTGAGAGGCGAGACTGCTACTTCCAGCTTATAAATTATTCGTAGCAAGCATTATCTCCAGACATCTTGAAGTACAGTATTTCTGGGCCAGAAGTTCATAATTGGAGTCCCACATCAGGACTTGACCTTGGAAGGTGCATTCATAATCTGGCTGACCAGGTTAATTGTCATCCTGTAACACTTTTCGAGATGCCCGATGGCAAGCGATCAGAGTGGGAATGTCTTCTGGACAGCCATCCTGTGAAAGGCAGTGGCAAACCATTGCAGTATTTGACCTTTAAGTGCGGACCATTCCAATCCGATGGTCCAACCCTCAGAAACAAGGATGGGCGAAAAGACAAATGGTATTAGTTTTTTAAACTGAAAGAACTGTGAACGCTGGAAATCAGAAACAAAAACAAGTAAAGCAGCTCATTACTTGCACTTCACACCGTGTGGTCTCCTCAAATTTGGGGAAACGAAGAAGAGACTGGATGACTGCTTTGCAGAACACCTATGTTCTGTCTGCAAAATAAAATGCCCTCAGCTTCCAGTTGCCTGCTGCTTCAATGCACCACTCTGTTCCCTGGCCAACATTTCTGTCTCAGGCTTGCTGCAGTGTTCCAGTGAAGCTCAGCACAAGCTGGAAGAACAATATTTCATTTTCCGCTTGGGAACTTTACAGCCTGCTGGACTCAATACCAAGTTCAACAATTTTAGGGCTTGAGGTACCTTCTCCCATGTCCTCATCCCAATCCCCACACACCAGGCCTTGTTATCACATAGTCTGCCGTTACATGCAACCCATTGTTAGCTGCTAATATCCCCATTCATTCTCTAATGCTGATTGTTATCCACTCCTTGTCTGTCCAACTGTTCTTCTGTTTCCTTGGCTCTATCTCCACCTATTGTTTACTCCTTACCCCTCTCCCCCCAACCTATTTTCTGCATAAAAAACAACTTTTTCCTCGCTACCATCAGTTCTGAGGAAGGGTCACTGGACCCAAAACTCTAAATCTGATTTCTCTGCACAGATGCTGCCAGACCTCCCGAGCTTTTCCAGCAATTTCTGTTTTCGTTTGTGTTACTTCTTTGCTTTTGGTATCCACAACTTAACTTAGAAAAGCTTGCAAGCCACATAATTTATTCTTTGCACCTTTTATCAAGTTGTCATGTACCCCAGTTTCCAGTTTTGTTCCTGTAAAGTATTAGATGCTTTATTACATGAAAGGCTCAATTTAAGTCAAGTGTTATTGTTGTTGTCCACCAAGCAAGTGATGGAAAGACACTTTGTTGACATCTACCTATGGGAGTCCCAGTTCTATTCTAGTGCGCTGTGAGCACCGAGAATGTGCATTTACAGATCACTGAGCACATGTAAAAGTGAAACATGAAATGGTGGAGAAGTGATGTCTTCCTTTCCTTGAATTCTTCCACTGTGCTTTCATTTCTGCACCACAGAGAGTTAACAGCAGCTGTCTGAACTGCCTTTTCTTATAAACACAATGGTCATTTCCTGGCCATCTATTTGCTGAATATTTCTGCTTTGCCTGCCCTCAGAATATAAATACACTTTGCCTCAAGGGAGCTGCATTGTTCTCTATCCCCATGGGGTTAGAACACAACTTTCAGAAGAAGGGCACTGAATCCCAACCAGTAAAGATAACGACCGGCAGCACCACACACGCTTACACAGAGAGAGCTCAGGAAAGAGCTGCAGGGGAAGCAATACATATCACAATTTGGCTGCAGTTCAAGAGGCAAGCACTGGCCTCTCACCTCTGGGATCCCATGGACAAAACCAGTTAAAACTGTTCCTAATTCAGCAATCTCCAGATGGCACTAGAAAATGATCGCTGGTGCAGTCAGGATATTGTCCTGGCTACAAATATATTGGGGTAATGACCCTTCAATGAAGCTTGATGCTGAACCTGCTGTTCCCCAGCACCAACATAACACACCTTAACAAGTACAGAAATAACTGTTACACAAAAAGAAACAGCAAAAACCACAACGAGTGGATGGGAGTTACCTGATAAAATAACAGCAGAATATCAAACTCAGCACGAAGACAAAAATTCCAGTACCAAATATCACCATGTAGATGTTCAATGGAAGATCCTGAAAGGTAATTGGCGGCATTGTGCACGATTTATTCGAGTAAATCAATCCCAAGCCACAGAAACATCCTGAAAAGTGACAGAAACAGAAGTGAGACATCACTGGTTAACATCAATCCTTTGCATCAAAGCTTTTATTTCCCTACTTACCTGGTTGATAATCTTAGCAGGACTGTATGCCTATTTTCCCCCCAAGCCCTCCACGCAAATTTTCTTCCCCTTCTCTTGAAGTGACTGTCGCTTACTGCCTATTTCATGAATTATGCAGGAAAGTCAACAGGAAGAAACCCAACCATGTCCACATACATTCTGTTTCCAGAAACAGAAGATCTGACAGATATTTCCATTTTTCAGGAAAGTCCACTGAAGGCAGTTCTGTCCTGACTCCACTGCAGCGATGACCAGACAACTGAACAATCCATAAATCTCAATAAAGGGCCAACAGCTATGGTGCAGGACATTATTCAACATGAAAAGAGTAGGGGATGAAGTAAATGAACAAGTGATGATACAGCATTTTGGTTTTTCAAATCTGCAAACAGAGGAAGGGAGGAAGCTGGTAACTATTTTAGATAAGTGGATCATTCTGTTCATAGAATCCTTACAGTATGGGAACAGGCCATTCAGCCCAACAAGTCCACACCACCCCTCTGAAGAGCATTCCATCCAGACCCATTCCCCTACCCCTGCATTTCCCACGTCTAACCCACCTAACCTAAACATCCCTGGACGCAATGGACAATTCAGCATGGCCAATTCACCTACCCTGCATATCTTTGGACTGCGGGAGGAAACCGGAGCACCCAGAGGAAGCCCACGCAGACACGGGGAGAATGTGCAAACTCCACACAGACAGTCACCCAAGGGTGGGATCAAACCTGGGTCTCCGGCGCTGTGAGGCAGCAGTGCTAACCACTAAGCCACTGTGCTGCCTTTTGTTTCTGAGATGGTTATAGTTCCACTCTAGGAGTCAGAGACAGTCCATTACCTAAGCAATTCAGGATCAATAATAAAAGCTGTCCATGCCAGAAATGCCCACATCCCGCAAAAGAAGGAAAAAAAAGAGCTTCTAATTATTTGGAGGAGCACAGCAGGCCAGGCAGCGTCAGAGGAGCAGGAACGATGACGGTTCGAGTTGGGACCCTTCTTCAGAAATGGGTCGTAAAAACAGAAATTCTTGTAATTATTTGGAGGTGCGCACGAAAATAAGGGAAGACATCAACAGGCCTGCGGAGTCTGCAAGTCAATGGAAAATGTTATTCAATATCGGAAAATGGGAGGTGGTTCACTTTAGTGCGAGGAATACGGAAGCCATTTGTTACTTGAAAGACAAGAGACAAAACAGGGATACAGGAAGAACGATATGTCAATCAGAAAAAAAGCATCACAAGTTAGTAAAACCACAAGCAGTGCAAACAAAGGACAAATGTTCATTTCTTGAAGATATATGAAACAAATAAGCAGAAGGAATGTTAACTTTTCCTCCAGCCTTTGTTGGATTGCAAGTAATGTGCTGTGCCCAGTTCTGGTCTTCACGATACACAAGCAACATAGAATCATTAAGCAAAGTGAGGAAAGACTGACAAAGGCGCCACATGAATTGAGAGGATGAAACTATCAGGAAGCATTGACGGTCACCGGACCCGAAACGTTAACTCTGATTTCTCTGCACACGTGCTGCCAGACCTGCTGAGCTTTTCCAGCAACTTCTGTTTTTGTTTCTGAGCACTGATCACTCTTGGGTTCCCTTCTCAAGGCTAGAGTTCTTCAAAACCATATTTTTTGACGTGGACAAAGCGTTTCAATTTTGGGTGAACGACGGGTATAAATATGGGACAGCCTCTCACAATTAAGCTTATCGGAGGAATATTGACTCAGAACGGTGAGAATGTGGAATCCAGTGAGGCACAGAATGCTTCAAGTATGTAAGAGGAGGCTTAATACGTACACAAGGGAGAAGGAAATTGAGGAATATGGGAACAGGATCGGAAGGAGTACAAGATTACAAGAGGCCTATGTGGAGTATAAACACTGGCATACATCAGATTGCTCGAGGACCTATTTCTGTGCTGGAATTCGATGTATTTCAATGTCCAATTCTCTGAACGATTCTCAGTTGCTACCCCGACCCTCAGCCTCACTCGTACTTCATACCTGGGATGCAATGCTGAATGGGTGACAAAAATGTACAGCATTTCATTCGTTTTTAAGATACATCAGCAAACATTACAGAGTCTTTTTCTTCAATACACAAATGTAATCTTTCGCAAAATCTTTCTCTGCACAGGGCCCCCTAAACCAGCTGGGTATTTTTAGAAACATTATCCTTTCCCAGCTTGCGTTCCTTTTCTCCAGCCCCTGAACCCAGCGCTCTGCACTCCAGTGAGTCGGAACCCCTTTCTCCATCCCGTCCCGCCCCATTACTCTGCATGCCTCAACTAGGAAAGAAAAACGCCAGTCCACATCTTACATTGTTCCTGCTCCGAACCACGGCACTTTCTGTCCCCCTGAACCTCGCGAATTTTTCACGCCAGACATTTGTAACCACAGTTATCGACCTATCCTTAAGCCTGGGACCCCGCAGTGCGGGTCGTGAGTTTGAACCCGGCTGTTCCATTTGGGCTGTATCTCCCTTGACCCGGGCAAGGCGGCGGTTGTGCGCGGTGAGACGGCAGACAAAGCAGGCAACCCACAGTCTGATGATGGCTGACCGCTGGTCTGCTTCGTCCTTCTCATTGTTCTCAGCAGCTCTCTTGTCCGGATCATCCATTCCCCCACCCGACCCCACCTCCCACGGTCCTCCGTCAGCCCGCAGATCCACAAACCCTGGAATATCAAACAGAAAGACATGTCAACATCCTTACCGTTACACCACTGGAAAGGGTGCATCAATAGTCCCGGATACAGATCTCAGGCGCAGAAATGGAGATGGGGTGGGGTGGAGTGGAGGGGGCCGGGGGAAAGGCTCAATCTCTGGGGTTCCCTCCCTTCCGACAGCAAGTCCGCGCGTTGCACCGTGCAAACTGACACGGCTAAAGCCCTCGGGAGTCTCTACGCCAGAAACACAACCAGAAGGCCCGCTGCCCGGATCAGACTGCTCTCGCACGCTTCTTCCTCGCCTCGACCCGAAGCGCGACTTTAAATAAACGTTCCGAGAAGCCGAGAGTCTTCCTCTTCCTTTCCCTCTCAAGGCCAAGTGCGTGAAGAGCCGCAGAGGAGACGGTCTTCAGCTCGCTGCATGCCTCCGGCTGACAGTCGGAGAATCAGAACAGTGCCTGAAGGGGGCGGGGATCAAACACAGCGAGCACACCTTCAGTTCGTTTGCACCCTCACCTCAAAGCTCCTGTTGGCAGTGTGCTTGCGCCAATGTTCCTGTTGACAGGTTCCGTGCATCTACCGACAAGGAGGACCTTACAGCCCTACTCTGCCGGGTCTGGTTGGCATTTGCCGTGCCCCCAACTCTGCCATCTCCCCAGTCCCGGTCACATCTTCTCAGGATTTAAGGTCACAGGAAAGGCAATCGTGATGCACATATTCCCAGGACCGCAAGTCCAGTGAAGTTTGGTACCGTTCCCAGTCTTGAAGTCACAGAGGCTCTAACCGAAATGATAGGACTGTGAATGGGGAGAGTGGAAACGGGAGAAGGAGAGATGGTTATGTCTGACTCCCACATTAGGAGTAATTTTCTGCATGCACTCTGGAGACATACAACAGCAACCTGTAGGTTTCCTTTGGGTTTCTATCACCCCAACCGAACAAAATCGGGAGTCGAAAATGTGTGACTACACTTCAAGACTGAGATAGATTTTTAATCAGAAAGAGAGTAAAAGATTGCAGGGAAAAGGCAGCAAAGTTGAATTGAGGATAATCTGATCAACCATGATCTTGATGAATGGCCTGTTTCTGCTGCTTCATATTCTGCTAAATGGATACACTGAGCAAGCAGGAAGCCCAAAGTCAGGGATGCACATTCAGGCAACTGTCCGATTATCTAAAACAGCATTCAAGAGCAAAAGGCAGGACTGCACGTGAAATTGCTTTATAATCAACAAAACTCTTCAAACTTGCAGGTGGGAACAGAATTACAGGGAACGGTTTAGAAAGTTTTGATGAATGGCTCCAACATTTTCTGTCTTTATTTCTGATTTCCAGTGTATTTAGTTTTTTTTACTTAAATAATACTGCAGTATTTGATTCAGTGCCACTTCTCTTCGAGTGCCCACCTTGAAATTCTGCTCTAGTTTTTCATTTGTTTCTTTGACCTTTTTTGCAGTCATCTGTTTATTTCTTTGCTCAGTCAGGGGGACCTGATGAAACATGAACTCTTTTTCACTCCTGAGAGCCTGCCACATTTTCTATTTTTACAAGACCCTAAGATGGAGCAGCAGAAACAGGCCATTCATCAAGATCATGGTTGATCTGATTATCCTCAATTCCACTTTCCTGCCTTTTCCCTGCAATCTTTGATTCTGTTTCTGATTAAAAATCTGTCTTGAATTTTCTCAACCACTCAGCCTCCGCAGCCCTCTCTGTTAATAACTTTCACAGATTCACTGCCCTCTGAGAGAAGAAATTCCTTCTCAACTCTGTCCTAACTTGGTGACCCCTTACTCCAAGATTGTGCTCTCTGGTCCTAAACTTTCCCCTTGGGGAAAAATACATCTCTGCAGCTATGTGATCCAGCCCCCTAAGAATCTTACATGTTTTGACAGGTCACCTATCATTCTTCTCAACTTGAACGAATGAGTACAACTTACCAAACCTCTCCTTCTACGACAGTCCCTCCATTTCTGGGATGAACCTGGTGAATCTTCTCTGGACTGCATGCAATGCCAGCAAATCTTTCCTTAGATCAGAAGACCATTCCAGCATTCCAAGCATTCCAGCTGTGGTCTAACCAGTGCCTCGTACAGTTTCAGCTAGACTTGCCTATTTTTATGTTAAATTCCCTTTGGAAAATACAGGCCAACATTCTACTTGTCTTCCCTATTAGCTGCTCAATTTGGATGTTATCTTTTGTGACTCATGCACGAGGAACCCCAAATCCCTCCGTGCTGCAGCCTTTCTAAATTGAAATAATTTTCAGTTCTCTGCTCTTCCTACTGAAGTGCATAACATGCCATTTTTTCCACATTAAATCCATCTGCTCTGTTTTGGCCCAATCCCAATTTGGTCTGTATCTCTCTGTGGACTCTGTGTCATCCTCACCACCTGTCTTACCACTTTTTTTTGTGATCTGTCACCCGTGGTAACAGTACATTCATTTCCCTCATCCAAGCCATTTATATATTTTGGAAGTAATTATTGCCCCAGTGCTGATCTCTGTGGCTTACCACTAATTCTTCCATGATGCAAGAATGAAAATGTCCTCCTTGCTCATTTATCCATGCTAATATACTATCCAAATCACCATGGACTCTTATTTTTATTGATTAGCCTCACATGCAGTACCTTATTTGAGTGAATGGTTGCTCTTTTAGTACCACAAGCAAAGTAGTTTTACATTCTGTCACAGTCATGTCATATCCTGTGCCTTGCAGATTGTGGTTATATCCTGTCCAGTCACACTGTGATATCAAGTACAAACTTTTAACTCACCATTGGGTACATAGTGCTCTACTCTGCAGTCATGCAGCACAGCTGTACGAGCTCTGTAATTCCATTTTCAGAGGCAATGATGAAACATGATGCAACGTGATGAAACATATCTCTGATTGAAGCCAATTTATGAAGTTCCCAGATGGCTCAAAGGCCCACACATACTAAATGGTCCTAGCCTCCATCTGCATTATGTTGACTTAACCAATTCCAACCAGGAAGGCAAAAGATTGGATGACAATTAGCCTTAGAAACTTTGGATTAAGCAAGAGTAAATCTTACTTTTGATCAGTAGTCAATGATCCTACTGGAAACTTGAACTCGCAACGGTGGATAAAGGCAGGATCATGTTCTTCTGCAATGTTTCATGATCAAAAAGTATTACTTCCCAAGGTACTGTCATGAAGATGCTCTACTGGTATCCTCCACCTAAGTTTGCACCAGCAAAGTTGTATTTCAAGAACAAATGCACTCAGAAGGAGGAGAATAATTAGCAATTTACTTTGACTGAAGAACCTCAGTTAACTTTCACCTCGAGTACCTGGAGATCAGTTAGTGGTTTCTTACATATGATTTATGTGCAATCTTTTGTTAGTCTGGTGCTGATAACGAAGTGGCATCTGTAGGTAACGCTAACAGTTTGTCTAGCATGTCAGATGATATGCATGGATATTTATAACAATTGCAAAGAAATGCATATGATTTCCATTTGCCTGAAAAGAATGCATACTCGCTTTTGGAGCAATGAACCTCACTTATTTAATCACAAACAATTTCAGCATAAGTGGGCAAGAAGAAGGGATCTGAGATGCATGCACAATTGATGTGAAAGAATCAGACCTGCTCATGTCACATCGCTGGAAGCTCAGCATTGAATCAGCCTATGTTTAGCATTCAGCCAAAAGCTTGGAAAATGGCATGCAAAATTATATGGAATTAATTGAGAACAAGCTTATTCCCCAGTACCAAGTCTACCTTTTTCATTAACTTGTGGGATGTAGGCTTCACTTGATGGACCATCACTTATTGTCAATCCCTTTCTGTACTTGAAAAGGTGGGGATGCCAACTGCCTTCTTGAATTGCTGCAGGTGAGATGGGTAGGAGTACTAACAATGCTGTTTAAGAGGGATTTCCAAGATTTTGACACCGTGATAGTGGAGGAACGCTGATATGCTTCCAAGTAGTTGAGTGACTTTAAAGCAAACTTGGAAGTGGTTGTGTTCTCACTCTCTCTTGTCCTTGCCATCTCAGATGACAGTGTCATGGGGTTTGGTGACTTTCTCCAGCGCATCATGAAGATGGTGTGAGCTACTACCATGTGCCGCAATGGTGGAGAAAGGGAAGGTTTGTGGGTGTGGTGCGAGTGAAGTAGTCTGCTACATGCTGAGTGGTGATGATCTCTTCAGAAGCTGCATTCATTCGGCAATGGGAAGTATTCCAACACACTTTTTACTTTGTCTTCTACATCATGGACAGGCTTTGAAATACATTAAATAGAAATAAATGGTCATTCCAGGACATGAACCATCACCAATATGCCAAAGTCCTGTGAATCTGCCTAAATCAAATATTAAAGCACAGAGTGTGACAGAGGGAAAAAAAATGAGACTTACAGCATTGGTACTTCATGTCAGCAAAAACGTGAATTCAATAGGATCCTGTTTACTCCAACTCTGCCGCCAAGAGGACAGTGATGGGTGAGTGAGTCAGTGGTCTCACTTGGTGCACAGCACATACCAGGGCTTCAAAGGTAGCATGGAGAACAATGAAATCCAATTTCATCAATGGTACATGCCATTCCATGTGACGTGGTAAAACACATCACCGATGTAGTTATTGTCTCCCAGTACATCATTTGATGTAGGTATGAAAAGGCTGATCAACCTTCATGATTCCATGATGGAATGGCCACTGATGCAAAGTACAAATTTGTCCAATAACTGACACAGATTGATGCCCTTACCTCATATGTCTGAGCTACATTGACAGTGCGAGTACCAGTTTCCATTGTTTCTCCACTGCAGAGTACAAACCCAAGGCCCAATGAAAGCAGTGGCAAGAAATTATGGAATTCTAGTTGGTATTTATTTTCTAGACTAATAGTCATCCAAATCCCACCATATCCTTGTCTTCATTCTCCAACTGCCTTACATAATCTATTCTTAAATGCTCTTTTGATCACTACTGAAATCACTAAGCTTAGTCCTACTCAGTCTCTCAAATCCTCTGCACAAAATGTTGTTCTACTTTGTCCTAAATTTCTTGCATTTATATCCTGTCACTTCTTTCCAGAAACTCTCAATTTCTGGAAACATCACTTTCGATTTCCACTCTGGTGAAAAAAACCTGAGCATGAATTATTTGCTGGTGAGATGGTATAATTCCATGTTCCTCCATTATGAAGGATCATTGACAAAAAGCTTTAAAATTCAATCCCTGGCTTTTGTTCTGGCCCACGGTCACACTTCTACTTTGACAAAAGCAGAATCTATCACAACGGTCACAAAATAGGCAACTGAAGATTTGTAATCTTCCAACAGTTGTAGCATCTGCTGTCTCAGGAGAAACCTCACATTGCTACCCAGTGGTGTTAAAGTTCAGAGATAGTAGGAACTACAGATGCTGGAGAATCTGAGACAACAAGGTGCAGGGCTGGATGAACACAGCAGGCCAAGCAGCATCATAGGAGCAGAAAGGCTGACGTTTCGGGCCTAGACCCTTCATCAGATGTTTTGATGCTGACGAGACATGCCTGGAAGTCATGCAATGGTTGTGAAGTTGAGATGTTCACATCTGCATAAATTAGAACATAATCACTACTCAGGGAAAAAAAAATTGTAGATCTATAAAACAGTAATCTTGGATAAAAAGACCTTAATATTTATATTTACTCTTTGAAGTTTACTGTTCTGTTCCCAGCTTTTACTTTTTTTCTGTTCAGTTGGGACCACGAGAAAAGAGAATCTTTACAGGCAGTAGCAGTGCTGCTTTGACTTTGTCATCACAATATCAGATCAGACATTCCTTCCCGTCTCCCTTGCCTTCTTTCTGTTCATTCAAGGTTTGTTTGTGTTTTTTTTTTAAATTGGCTTTTTGACTCTCTTTGCCTGGCTTTAGTTGTCTTGGCTTTTGCCATCTGTGTTGTTCTGATAGATTGGAATTTGGAATCTGTGAAAAGGAGAACAGTTCTGTTTCAATTTGCTAACAGCCCTGGATCAAGTCATAGTTTTACACACAAGAATAAATTTCATAAAACTCTGACTTGTGATTGCACACATGATTTTTGAGGTTTTAAAATGAGTGAGTGGAATCCCAACTTCTGGAAAGAATGTTTATTGAAGCAATTGGTCAGCTGTTGTAGAAGTGATGCTAACTGCACTTACAACATAAAATGAGGGCCTCTTTGGTCATGGTTTTCATAAACATCTTAAATCACTTGACTGCCAGTGAAAGAATTTTGATATCGTATCTTACTATCATTGCTGCATTATTGTAGAAAATAGAATAAGGTAAATACATAATCCAGAATAAGACAGTGTTTATGAATGTAAAGCTGAAAATTATACAAATGATAAATTGATAAGATAATGACTGGTTGATGCTAAATTCATTTTCTCCCCCAGTACCTGGGTAAAGCGAGACTTCTGCATTAAGTTTAGAATGCCCTTTTGGTTCCAGTTGATAGTCATGATGCTCATTTCACAATCATACTTCGCTGTTTGGAGAAGAAGTGGGAATATCAGGTTTCCTGCTTGAATTTAATTTGTAGATTCTGCACAAAATTAGTGTTGGCATTTCTTTAGAAAAAATAGACTTCAATGTAGCTGGATGTAGGCACATAGTGTGGACTGTAGTTATAAATCAGAGCTGCCTCCTCTTCCTTCAGGTTTGAAAAATGATGGAAGTTCTTCCGGGCTGTGAAGAAACAAAGAATATTAAGAGACGAGAATGCCCAGAGTGAGGTCTATCAAAACAACGGACTTTCACTGCATGAACAGACAGCATAACACCATCACTTGGCACAATTCATTCGTCATGGCACCTTGTGATCCATTCACAGGAAGCATGAAATGAGCACTGATTTTTTCTCTCTCTCTCTCCATGAACCCTGGCTTATTTTTAAAGCCAAGAAAATTGCCTTGAGGAGAGGAACTAACTCAGGAAATTGAGGAAATCTAAAAATCTACAGTGATGTATACTTCCATATTTAGACTCCGACTGATCTTTATGCTCAAGGCTTTAAAGGGAGAGGCAGATTTTTCCCTCTTTAAACAAGGGGTCATGCCTTCAATCTGCATTGTCCCCATCACTAAGCTGATAAAATTCAACTATTTTGAATAAGAAAATACGACACCTAGATTCTTTCTTGTCTGCATGGCCAACTTATTTCCTCCCTGACCTAAGCTACTGGGAATTTTGTATGACAATACGTGTCTTTAAGAGTGATTTGTTTTGTCCCATTTCTCTTGAAGAGGTGTGTTGTTAACCTTTTTCTGAAGAAAGGTCCAGACCCGAAACGTCAGCTTTCCTGCTCCTCTGATGCTGCTTGGCCTGTTGTGTTCATCCAGCTCTACACCTTGTTATCTCAGATTCTCCAGCATTGGCAGTTCCTACTATCTCTGTGTTGTTAACCTGGTGTCAACAGTCTGCTCCATGAAAAGCAGAGTAAATAGCTTTGGGTGTTTTTTTTTCAATTTAGACAGAAGAATCATCAAGGGATGGAGTTTGGCTTACAGAGACCCAGGGTTTTAGTTTTGCTTTCAGTTAAACAAGTTGGGGTTTTTGGATTTGAAGTTGCTCAAAACAGCACTCTCTCTGCTGGAGCAAAAAAACTTGAGATCTCTCTCTGCTGCTAGTTTAATTCCTTTGGGGTTCCTTTCTCCCAAACGAGAGACAGCACGTGAGTGAATCTGTTTTGCTGAATTTGCCTTTGCCAAGGGTGTGTTTATAGAATGCTGCTATATTGGAACAGTTGATTAGTAGTAATTAAATAATATATTATTTTGTTGATTATTTCAATAGTTAAAGTTGTGCCAATTCCTTTTTTATCTTTACTTTAACTGTAGTCTAAGAATAAAGTATATTTTGCTGAAAGCCTTTAGTTTGTCCAATCGAATCACAGGCGGAATACAGTGCCTTACACTATGATAAAAGTTATGCAGAATGCAATTCCAGATGGATAACACACCTGGTTACAATGTGGTAGAAGGGAAGATTCCCTGTCCAGGTTTTAGGGCTGTATCAATGTGTTAATTCTTCTGACATCTGCCTCAAAATTCTCAGGACATGTGCAATTGGGTTCATCTGATTTTTCAACGCTTCATCGATCACCCTCTTATAAATAGTACTCATTAAAGGAGGGTTGAGAACCAGAGGACGTAAATTTAACGTGACCGGCTAAAGAATAAAAAGCAACAAGAGGCAAAACTTTTTTCTTATGCACCAGGTGATTGTGCCCCCTTCTTTGCCTTGACCACAAATAAATACCTTCATTTACAAAAAAGTCAGACAGGAGATAGGAGACTTCAACAGCATTCGGAGAATGTGGGAAAGCAAAATGCTGCTGCCACTGAAATCGATTAACCTCTGGATGCCACTGGACCCCATAGAAAGGATATCGAATACCTGCAGTAACAAATCGAAGATACTAATTACAAATTCAACAAAAAAATACCTATGTGAAACCAGATGGAACTTATGAGTTATTTCCCTCATCCCACAAGTCTTTAACACAGGTTGTTCATTATTGGCGATTGATCTACTGGCATCAAATGATAAATGCATTTAAAAAGGAGGAAACAAAACGTCAATCATTTTCTGCAGGAAATGTGGACCCAGAGAGTAGCCAGAAATGCATAAGCATTTATGAATCATCAGAGAAAGAATGTCTTAAAGGGTTAGCATGAAAACACAACAGAAAAATGAGGGATCTTTGACAGTTTTTGTGATCAGTCTTAAATGAGGTGACTCATGAGTGGCCTCTGTTGTAATTTCTCGCATGCTGCATGGCCCTGCATAGGCACAGTTACATAGAGAGTTACACTAGTGTCCAATAGCTTTTTAACTGTTCAAGGAACTGAAATGTGGGACAACATTTCTCCCAACCTAGCAAGAGCTTCTTTCCCCTTCAGCTAAATTTCTGTTTGAAACTCCCACTTGGTAATACTGCTAAGATACATCACATCTTTCACTCAGAAGGTGAAATATGTACTGATTTGGAAGCTGATTGGATCAAGCAAAATCAAAGGGCTTGCATGGCTGGGATCAGATTGGCAGAATTGGTTGACATTTAGACGGAGTCAACATTGATTCTCGTGCCTGGAAATGACTCCAGGCATTGAATTCACCTGCAACTGCACAGTTTGCCTGTACCCACGGAAATATCATCTGTGTTGAAATCATGAAGTAAAAAAAAAAATCATCCCTCACGGTGGAAGTTCTAGCTAACTCTGAATATCGTTTGACAAGACCAGTTGTTATTTTGTCCACTAAAACCAAGAAGCATCTTCCAATTCTCAACAAGGCATTTGTTTGATGGCAAACATCTTAAGATTCAAATGTACTGCAAGGAGATTAACAATTATTTTAATAGCTTGACTGTAGCTGCTGCGAGCAAACCAGCCATGAATTCACTGGTCTAACTCATAGTTCAATCTGATCTGATGGGTATCACAGGAGGCAATTCTTACCCAGGTATTCTGGTGATTTATTTTTATTCTGGCGATATAGCGAACTGGATTTGTAGCTGTGGTTTTTGGGATTTTTCAATGCATAGCATTTGGTGGGATGAAGAGGATGTCCAAAACAATCACAAATACAATTGTAACAAAGTGGGGAATACTTGTCAAACCTCCAAACTGTTGAATAGGCATTAACAATGCTTAGCCACTTTAATCTGTTCTGTTGTGAATTGAAATCAGAACTTTGAAACCAAGAACATGACAGTATAAACTTGGAAAGATCATACAAACACTCGAGAATGATAGCTTGCTTTTATTGGTCAGTGTATTCAGTATAGGAGTTGAGAGTTATGTTTGCAGCTGAACCAGACATTGGTTAGGCCACTGTAGAATACTGCCATCAATGCTGCTCTCCATGCTATATGAAGGATGTTGTGAAATTTGGAAAGGTTCAGAAAAGATTTGCAAAGATGTTGTCAGTTTTAGAAGGTTTGAGCTATATGAAGAGGCTGAATAGGCTGGGGCTATTTTCCCTGGAGCATTGTAGACTGAGGGGTGACATTATAGAGGCTAATAAAATCATGAGGGGCATGCATAGGGTGAATAGCCATGGTCTTTTCGCCAGTCCAAAATGGGCAGAGGTTTAAGGTGAGAGGGGAAAGATTTAAAAGGGACCTCAAGGGCAACGTTTTCATGCAGAATATGGTCTGTGTACAGAATGAGCTGCCAGAGGTAATGGTGCAGGCTGGTACAATTACAACATTTAAAACCCATCCAGATGGATATATGAATAGGAAGGGTTGAGAGCGATTCGGGTCAAATGCTGGCAAATGGGACCAGAGTAATTCAGTTTATCTGATCGGCATGGACAAGTTGGACCGAAGGGTCTATTTCCATGCTGTACATCTCTATGACTCATAGGTCACAGTCTATGCAGAACTCACCCTCATTCATTTGTAATCATGGAAAGATGAGCTTGAGCTACTTTTGTAAACATGAGATGGAATTTGTTTCATTGTGCCAAGATCAGGACACTCAATAGATTTAGATAACTTGTTTTTTTCTCAATTCAAAACCCATGATCAGCCCAACTGATGACTTGAATAAAGGGGCGCAAGTTTGGAGAAGGAAGGAATCACTAAATAATACAAAAAACTATCTTAGTTCTTGGTTACTGAGAACAAAAAAATGTAAAATTTGAAACCTGATGTTACCTCTGACCCCAAACAATGAAGTCAATCAGCCAAGTTGCAAAATTTTTTCAACAAACAACACAAAAACAAGACAAGACACAAGTTTTCCACAGAGGCCGAGGACATTATTGTTTCTAAAAATGAAAGAAACTTGGCATAAAATGAACAATATCTTGGATACTTTTCTCCCACCAAAGCTTTGCCAAGACTGTAAAGAAGATGCAAAATGAACTTCAAAAGTTTGATTAAATAAACTGAAGAGAAATATGTCAAGGTCAAATAACCAAAACATGATGGCAAAATGAGCTTAGCATTTACACAGAGCAAGGGATGGAAAACATAGGATTGCCACAATGATCTGAACAGTGTGCTTATGGATAACATGTTTGGATAATGGCGTATTCATCTGTAAATACAGGTTTAAAGAACAAGAAGTGCTCTTTGTCACAAATGCCCCTGCCAGTTATGTTTGTTATATAATAGCAGTTACACTGTTCAACCTACCCTCCATCGTAGACACAAACTCCACACCCTTTCTGTCATAATTAGTGGACAGAATTGAATAAAATTTCCTTAGTTCCTCATCTCGTAGAAAATCCTGCCAAAATACATCAAATCAGTGTAAGTCAAGTGATAAACCACATAAGTTTTCGGTCTTTACGGATGAATAAGTTGAAAGTGGGCTGAATGATCATTCTCATCCATAACTACACAAGTCGAACAACCACTGTGTTCCATCTAGTTCGTAACACACTCACATGATTGCATCCTCCTCTTTTCAAGTATTACCTTCACAGAAAGAGAAAAATGATGGAAGTTTCCAGTCAGCGGTTCATGGGATAAAGCCCTGTACACATCTGAAGGAAATTTCTGAAACATTTCACTAAATTCTGCAGCTGGGAGGAAGAGACAGAGAAAAATGCAGTTTAAAAATAAAATATCTGGTGAAATTCAAATCAGAAATCCATCTCTGATTGCAGAGAAACTTTTGATTCAAGGAAAATATTTGCACAATTACAGTGTGAATTGAAAAATAGGCCCTATGGACATGCAATCACCATACATGTCCATACCCCACAAGGACGGCCCAGAGGCCCTCAGTTTTTCGCTCTCCAACAGATCCCCCCTCCACCTCACCAAACTAGTCCTCACCCTCAATAACTTTTCCTTCAATTCTTCAAATTTTCTCTAAATCCAAAAAGGGTTCCCACGGCATTCCCATGGGCCCCAGCTACACGTGCCTCTTCGTCAGTCACATCGAACAGTCCCTCTTCAGTTTGTACACTGTTACTGTTCCCAAACTCTTTCACCGTTACATCGATGACAGAGTTGGTGCTGCATCCTGCACCCAGGGAGAACTGGAGAAGTTATGATTTCGCTAACAACGTCCACCCCGGCCTTAGATTCACTTCGTCTATCTCAGACACCTCCCTACCCCTTCTTGACCTCAGTTTCCATTTCCGGCAATAGTTTACAGCCCGACATTGACTATAAACCCATTGACTCCCATAGCTACCTAGACTGCACTTCCTCCTACCCTGTTTCCTGCAAATACTCCATCCTATTGTCCCAATTCCTCTGACGAGGAGACATTCCACTCCCAACCATCCTGGATATCCTTCTTTTTCAAACAACGTTCTTTCCCCCCACCTGTCATCCAGACAGCCCTCCACTGCACCTCCTCCATTCCCACTCCACAGCTCTAAACCAGCCCCTCCCTCCAAACCTAATAAAGATAGGGTCCCCCTTGCCCTCACTTTCCACCCAACCAGCCTCCCCATCCAAAGCATCATACTTAAACTACTTCCATTAACTCCAAAGAGACCCCACCACCCAGAACATTTTCTGCTCCCAACTCTCTCTGCTTCCGCAAGGACCATTCCCTTCGCTAATCCTTAGATCGCACCACTCCCCCCTACCCGGTACCTTCCCTTGTAAATGTAAAAGATGCAACACCTGCCCACATACCACCTCCCTCACCTCCATTCAGAGCCCTAAACAGTCCTTCCAGCTGAGACAGAACTTCACCTGCATCTCCTCCACCTAGCCTCATGCATCCAGAGCTCCTGATGTGATCTTCTCTACATCAGTAAGACCAAACGTTGACTAGGTGACTGTTTCACTGAGCATCTTTGCCCAGCCCTTAACGGCCAGCCTAACCTCCCAGTCACGGCCCATATCAACTGCACCCCCTCCACTCAATTCCCACACCGATATGTCCATCCTTGGCCTCCTCCAGTGTTGCAGTGACTTGGAACGCAAATTTGAGGAACGATACCTTATCTTCCACCTAGGCACCCTACAGCCAGGAAGACTCAACATGGAGTTCTCTAATTTCAAATATCCTTCCCACCCATCCCCGACTCCCTTTCCAGCTCTGCCTCCTCCCTTCCATTCCACCTCCGAACCATCCCTTCTAGCTCCCAACTGGATTCATCCCTCCCATCGACAACCAGGTCATACCTACTTCCGGTGTCCACCTATCACCATCATTCCACCTCTCACCCCCCATCTCTCTTTATCTGCAGCTTCTCCTATCCCCACATCCAGTCCTCAAGAAGGACAATACCTGAAACGTTGACTTGTCCTTTCCTCCTGATGCTGCCTGGCTTGCTGCGTTCTTCCAGCCTGCTGTTTGTCTACCACATTTTAACTGTTCGATTGGATACTCCTGACCCAACATCCCTTTGAATACTATCCGAAAAGAACAAATTTGCTGAACTCAGCCAGGTGCTGTCTGTGGAAAGGGTCCCATACTGTCATGCACTTGATATGAACAGCAGCCAAAATTATGATCTATCCTTCATTATCCATGCAGACCAAAATCCTTAAATCTCATTGGCATGGGACTCTCCATTCACATTAGTAACTCAGTTAACTAACATTTCTCTCACTGTTTAACTCAATCTTTACTATAATGCTTTTTTTTGTGCAATACCTTACTGCATATAAAATCTCAAAGAACATCACAATTTTTTTCAAAACGTACTGACTGTTCTTCTGTAGTTAAATGCTGCCATCTGCCAAAACCCATAGTTAACCATCAGAAGAGTACTAGCTCACATCCTTTGATATGCAAGTTAAAGAGGGAGTATTGTTCTTTTTCAAATAGTGTATTTAACATGTCATCTGAAAGACAGCACCTCTAACAATGGAACAATTCCTCTCCACTGTTTACGTAAGTCAGCCAAGATAATAACTCAAATCGTGAACTAGCTCAAATTGTAATCTTCGAATTTACAGTGAGCATCTTACGAAATGTTCCAAGTTGAATAGTTTGAATGAGCCTCTCTCAACTTGCTTAGCATGCAGACAAGAAACTAAGTTGTGCTGTACCAGTGTTGTGCATCTGACATAAACCCATTTAAATTCGTATTGCAACACAACACCAGGAAATCCTCTTTACATTGTAATCCCCAAGTCATAATACTGTATCAGAAAGTGCTCCTACCATTAGTCAGGTTAAGTGGGAGAGCAATGTTTTCTGTGTCAGTATTTATCAGTAAGTTCTTTCCAGCAGTAAGCACGGTCAGCAACTGCATTCCAAGGCAGGTTCCCCATATTGGAAAATAATCACCAGCATCAAATGCCTGCAGTAATAACATTGAAACAGCATCAAACAGTATCATCCATGCCACCATTGGACTATTCACACAGACTGCTAAATAGCCCTCCAATAACTTAAATTCATCTTAAACTCTGTTACTGCTGTCCTAACAACAAATTCCATTTGTCTATCATCTCTGTGCTCACTTACTTGTACTGGAAACCAGTGGAGGAAAGTCACTTTAATCCTCATTCATCCTTTCCTTCAATCTACTCTAGCTCTGTAACTCTCCAAAATCTCTGCATTTCTCGAATTCTGACCTCTTGGGCACTGTGATTTTAATTGCTCCAATAGTGGTGGCCATATTGTCGGATGCCTTGGCCCCATGCTCTGAGTTGCTGACCTGAACTTCTTCGCACTCTACCCCTTATTCCTCTCTTTGGATACTCCTTCAAATGTACTTGTGCTCAAATATTTTGTTCTATTTTCCAGTTCCACTTGTGTGTCTTTTTTTAGTGTCTTTTTTTCTTAAAAATAATATCTACTGATAAACTGTTGTTCTCAGGACAGCAGATTAAGACTCTAGAATTCTCCAGAAAGCATGGAACATCAAGTCATTGCATCAGATACGGTCACTGACCTCATTTCATCTGGTGATCTTACCTCCATACCTCCAAGTCAATAGTGCCCCAGCCCCGCAGAGCTCTCTTCTACCTCCTTCCAAAAATCCACAAATTGGACTGCCCGGGCAGACCCATTGTTTCTGCCTCCTCCTTCCCCAAAGAACTCATCGCTTCCTACCTTGACTCGATCTTTTCTCCCCTGGTCCAGTACCTGCCCACTTACATCCATGATTCCTTTGATGCTTTATGCCAGTTTTGGAATTTCCAATTTGCAGCCTCCAAACCGTCTTCTTTTTACCATGGTCGTGCAATCACTTTACATGTCCATCCCTCACCAGGATGGTCACGGGGCTCTCTCCTTCTTCCAGGAGCAAAAGCCTGAATTGTCCTCACTCACCACCACCCTCCTCCGCTTGGCTGGGCTCGTCCTCACCCTCAACAATTTCTCTTTTAACTCCTCTCATTTTCTTCAGGTCAGGGGGTGGCCACATGGTCGCACATGGCCCCATTTATGCCTGTCTCTTCGTGGGGTACATGGAATATTCCTAGTTCCAGTCCTATTCCGGCCCCCACCCACAACTCTTTCTCAGATATATCAATGGTATCATCGGTGCTTTTTCTGTTTCATCCAGAATTAGAAAAGTTCATCGATTATGTTCCACTTTTCACCCCGCCCTTACTTTCACCTGGTCTATATCTGACTCCTCCCTTCCTTGACATCTCTGCTTCTATTTCTAGGGATAGATTGGCCACTAAATCCACAATAAACCCATGACCCTGACAGCTACCTGGACTATATATTTTTGTACCCTGCTTCATGTAAAGACTCCTTCCATTCTGTCAGTTCGTCAGTCTTTGTTACATCTGTTTCCATGAAGCCAACTTCAACAAGACAGCCTCCAAAATGTCCACCTTCTTCCTCAACCAAGGATTCCCCAGCGCTGTTGTCGACAGGGCTCTCAACTGGGTTCGACCCATCTCCTGCACTTCTGCCCTCACTCCTCTCTTCCCTCCTGCAACAGCAAAAGGGTCCCCCTTGTCCTTACCAGCATCCACATCCAAATGATCATCAGCCATCATTTCCACCACTTCCAGCGAGAAACCACCACAAGACACATATTCCCCTCCCCTCCATCGTCTGCCTTCCTCAGGGACTATTCCCTTGAGGATACCCTGGGTCCACTCTTCCTTCATGCCCAACCACGCCCCCACAGCCCCATGGCACTTTTCGCTGCAACCAAAGGTGAACACTTGCCCATTTACCTTCTCCCTCGTCAGTATCCCAGGGCCCAAACATACCTTCCAAGTGAAGCAGCACTTCACCTGCATTTCACACAAACTCGTCTCCTGCATTCACTGCTCACAATGTGGTCTCCTCTACATTGAGGAAACAAAGCGTAGACTGGGTGACCGCTTTGCGGAACATCTGCGTTCTGCCCGCAAAAGAGACCCTGAGCTTCCAGATGTTGGTTCCTGGCCAACATCTTTGTCGCAGGCTTGTTGCAGTGTTCCAGCAAAGCTCAGTGCAAGCTGGAAGAAGAACACCTCATTTTCCGCTTGGGGAGGCTGTAGCCCTCTGGACTCAACTCTCCCATGTTCTAGCTCCCAACCCCACACACTAGGGCTTGTGACCACAGTCTGCTATTACATACAACCCATTGTCAGCCACTAACAGTCTTCATTAACAACTATTCACTTTCCTGACCAGATCGTTATCCACTCCGTTATCTGTCCACTTTTGTCTGTCCTACTGTTCTTTTCTCTCTTTGGGCTCTATCCCTACCTATCGTCTACTCCTTAAACCCTCCCACCACCATATCTTCTGCATATAAACCAACAATTTCCTAGCTACTGTCAATTCTGAGGAAGGGTCACTGGACTCAAAACGTTAACTCTGATTTCTCTTCACAGATGCCGCCAGACCTGCTGAGCTTTTCCAGCAACTTCTACTTTTGCTCCAGAAAGCAGGACCAGATTAAAATGAAGCAACTTGCTGCATCTTGCCACACCAAACAAAACCAATTACTGTGACAACATCCTCATGATAGACTTCATCAGCAGGCTAACAGCTGGGGAAAGCATGGTGAAGCATGATAGTAATTCACAATAGGAAGGGTTGGAGCAGTGGACAAATCCGCCATCATTTGGTGAAGGCTTTACTTCAGTAAAAGGACATGCTGTTTAGACCTACCTTTAATGCAAAGTTGTAAAATGTTTTTGCAACTTTGGCAAAGACAGATGTCTTCACATCAGATGATCCACCAGGAAAGAGAATGCTGGAGAAAGCAAAGGGGGAAATGGGTGATGCAACATTTGTTTCCTTTTTCAATGAAAATTGTTGAGGAGCAATGTCCATCCCTTTACATGGTACAATTCTATGGATGTGTTTGAGGCTGGGTGTTCTTACTTCTCAGAGTAATAAGATTTATAAAATTAAATGTAGATATTCACAGAAATATGAATTTGAGCGTGAGCCATGGTTATTAGGCGTAACTCTCACGTCTGGAGTCAGAAGCTTCTAGGTTTAAGGTCGATTTCACCAGAGACTTTAGCACATATTCTGGATTAACATTCCAGTGCAATGCTGAAGGAATACTGACTGGATGAGACATTAAACCGAGTTCTAGCCCTCCACTCAAAATAGGTATAAAAGACTCCGAGCCATAACCTTAAAGCAAAACAGATCACTTCAGGTGTCCTACTCAATACTAATCCCACAACTGATATGGGAAGAATCCATAGTTTAAAGCCACAAATGCTGATAAACAAAGATAACTACCACTATATCTAATAGGTAAACGAAGAGAAATGTCTCCACTCAGAGTGGTTCAAATGTGGACTCGCACAGACAGTCATATCTTAGACATTTACCAAAAGGAACCAGCTTAGTCACAAGAGAAAAGAGAAAATATGCTGAAAGCTCAAGTTAGGTAAATGGAATAGAGACTTGGATGAAGGTGAAACAGCCAGTTCTGTACTGCATATGAAAGTAGGTCTGAGACTTGACAGTGACTGACAGTACAGTATCTTTGAAGTTATTTTTCTTTCGCTAACCTTGGGCACAGATGCCATATGAAGCACTTTACTGCAGAGGACTAACAGCACAGACTTTCTGCTTTGTAAATTCAAAGGTTTTACCATGACGATGACTATCTGTTCAAAGGAGGGAAACAAAAACACAGAAAACGGCTCAGAATTGTAATGGATTACAGTGTGATTGCAAGCTTATTGTACCAAAACATAACTGAAGTTGTTAATGACAGATTGTGGATTACAGAAAAATGAAGGCATAGGAACTTCTTTGGTGATGATTTAGGTCATAACTAATTGACACAATGGCAGTCTCTGTCCTCAAATTAAATCCAGCAGTCCATATCTGTCAGCCTCAACACTTGTAACCAGTTCAAATTGTTATTTACTTACCCATTGATTGAATAAAAAATCTTTTCATATTCGTCATTTGTCAAATTCAACCTGCATTTAAAACCAAACAAAATGCATTTCAGTTTGAATATTTGAAAGCTGACACAAAAGCATCTGTCTGACCCCACATCTCCAATTTTACAATGACAGCATCCCATGTCTTAGACTTGCAATACTAAACATCTGCTAAAATTATACTTATTGCTGAAATACACAGTTTTGCCTTTTTCTCCCTTTTCTGAAGGCATGAGCTCGTGAGCATATTGTTTCTTTACTAACGTATAGGAAAGTTCAAAGGTAAATACTGGACCAGAGGTCCAGATGAATGATCCAAAGACATAAGTTCATATCCCAGTATGGCAACAAGAGACTCATCTCAATTAACCTGGAAATCAGGATCTGCAATAATGAAGCTAAAGCAATGGTGTCTTAAAAACTTACAAAGGTCCTTTTGGGAAAGAAATATGATCTCTTTATGCAGTCTGGTCTACATATGACAAACATACAACCGTGTGGTTGACTGTTTGCTGCCGTCTGAAACAACCTGGTAGTTCAGAGTTGTATTCAAGAAGGTAGCTCTCAATTGCATTTTGAGGACAAGTAGGGATGGGCAATAAAGGCTGGCTTTGTCAATGATGTCCATATCCTGTGATTAAATTCAGAGAAGTGTTCGGCAGGCTTCAGTCTATTAAATGCTTTTCCAGAAAGCATAGTAATGAATGGCACTTCGAAAACTTGAAAGCTTCTTAAAATTCCTCACAACTAATGGAGCATATATTTAAATGCAGTCATTCTTATGTGAAGAATGGCAATTTCCCCTGTATTAGTTCAAGGGAATGGGGTACCCTTATTATTGCTCAGTCTGAGAATAGACATATATTTACGAAATAGGAATTATAATCCTTGGCTCTACAACATGCCTATATTAAATATTACAATGAACATAGCATCTCCAAGGAATTTCAGGTGCTGTTGGGTTGGTCTGATCCACCAGGTGACTGGGCTGTGACTCATCCAATTCTACCCTGATCGCACTGTATAATCACCATTACAGCTATAAAAGAGTATGAATTTTACCTGACTGGTACCACTCTGCAGCCAGCCGACTCCAGATACTTAACATAGGGTGCAGCAATGTAATATTTCCCATACGGAAGAAGATCTGGATCAAATGTTTCCTGGACCAATATGCCTGAGGGACGCAAATAAGATCAAATTTAAGCAAGATAAATGTTGTGCAATGAAAGAGTTAGTCATTTACTCTTTAAACTTTCTCCCTTCCCCTTCATCTACAAGTTTCCCATTACAGTTCTGTAGGCAGCATCTGACATAAAGATATGCAGATAAAATAAATTCCTCATGGTGCAAAATGATTATTCAGAGAACACAACAGAAGAAACAACAGGTGGAGACTAGAGGATCCCTTGTGCCCGGTCTACTATTCAGTGTGACCACTGATGACTTTCTGTCTAAACTCCATTTTCCTGCCAGCTCCCCGTATCCTTGAATTCCCCAAATGACTAAAACTCTGTCTATGTCAGCTTTAATTCTCCATGATGAAAATCTGTAACTTTCTGAAGGAGACAGTGTCCAAAGTTCACCCCATTTGGGTGAAGATATTGGTCTAAAGTCAGTCCTAAACATCAGGCCCCTGATCAGAGACTGTACCCCCATGCTCTAGAATCATCAGCCCATGGAAACAGTTACTCAGTGTCAACCATTGCCAAGCCCCTTCAGAATCGTGTCTGTTTCAGTTAACTGATCTCTTACTGTTCTGGATTCAAGAAAACATTTGTCCAACTCTCATCTCAAATCCTTCAACCAAGAAATGCAGTGAACCTTTCGTGAACTACCTCCAGTCCAACTATATCACTTTACCGAAACGATAAAGCACAGAGCTCAAGAAAGCTACAGAAAAAAAGAATGTGATGTGCAGTTAGGTGGCATATCCAGTTCTATGTTTCGAACTGTGAACAAATGTTTTTAAATGAAGGTGACAGGAAAGAAATGCATCCTAAATGGTAAGATTTTGAATGAAGTAGACTGGCAAAGCAACTTCAGTGTGCAGATGTACAAGTCCTTAAAGGCAGCTTGTTGCCATTGTCATAAATTTGCATTTGTAAATCCATTTTCTCCACACCCTTCTGAATTTCTGTCTTCAGGTGATGGTTCCACTCATGCTCTTCAACACAAAATATACATTTATCATGCATTTTTACATTCTACTTTTCTATGGTATCCTCAAGTTTTGGATTTCTCCTCACTGTCTCACACTTCCTGCTTTTGTCATTTGCAAATTTTAATGTTGCAATACTCACATTAAAATTATACTTTCTCTCAACCAAGAAAAACACAACTCCAGCCTAACAATTGTAACGAGCTCCCTGTCAACCAACTCAATTAATACTTCTTAAAGCTGACAACTTCATTCCTTCACTTATACTTTACGATGTGTCAGTGGTAAAGCAAGATGATGTTTGTGAATGTGGTAGCAGTCAAGTGTGCTGCTTTGTCCTGGACAATGTCAAGCTTCTTCAGTGTTTTTTGGAGCTGCATTCACAGAGGCAAGTGGGGAATGTTCTGTCACGCTCCTGACTTGTGACTTGCAGATGAAGGACAAGTTTCGGGAAATCAGTTCCTTGCCATGGGACTCCTTACCTCTGACCTTCTCTTGTAGTCACTCAGTTTTTATGGCTAGTCCAATGCAGCTTTTGGATGTTGATATTTGGTTTTATTTTATTTATTGTCACATGTATTTTGTAACAAAATACCGTTGCCACGACCGAGCTCCTCAACAGGAGTTAAGTAAAATAAAAAAAAAGAGAAAAATAAACAGAACAAAAAAAAACAAAAAGAAAAAAGTCAATGAGTCCCAGGCTCAGAAGCCCTCTTACCAAAAGTGGCGGCCTCAGTGATAGTAATGCCAATGCATGTCATGGAACAATGATGTGAGTCTGTTTTGTTGGAGATGGTCATTTCCCAGCACTTACGTGGCACAAATGGTGCCCAGGTCTTGTTGGATTTGGATGTGACCTGCTTCAGCATCTGACGAATCGAACATGGTATTGACCATTAGCTCCTCCTACAAGCCGAAGTCCCCACCTGCTTCAAGAAGGCCACCATCCCCACACCCAAGAAAACACATGAAGTGTCTGTTAATGACTACCATCCAGTGGCTATGACTTCAACAATCATGAAGTGCTTCGATAGGCTGGTCATGGCCCACATCAACTCCATTCTCCCAACCTGCCTCGGTCTCCTACAGTTTGCCCACCGACATAGGCATATCCCTCGCCCTGCACTCATCCCTGGAACATCTGGACAATAAAGACACCTACGTCAGACTCCTGCTCATTGAAGGCAGAGCTGTAGTCAATGCCATTGTCTCCTCCAGACTGATCTCAAAACTGCTTGACCTTGGTCTCGGCTCCGCCCTCTGCAACTGGATCCTCAGCTAACTGACCCATAGGCCGCAGTCAGTGAGATAAGTAACTGCACCTCCTCCACAATATCACTCAACATTGGAGACCACCCCCACAAAGGATGTGTCTTCAGTCCCTGACTCTACTCCCTGTACACCTACGATTGTGTTGCCAAATTCTGAAAGAATGCCATCTGCAAGTTCAGTGACAACACCACTGTAGTGGGACGGATAAGTAACAACGACGACTCAAAATACAGAAGGAAATGACGTGGTGCAATGAAAATAATCTATCTCTCAATATCAGCAAAGCTAAAGAACTGATCATTGACTTCAGAAAGAAAGCAGAACACGCCCTAATCTACATCAACAGAACTGAAGAAGAGCATCAAGTTCCTCGGAGTGACAATAACTGACGACCTGTCCTGGACTTGCCACGTAAATGCAACAGTCAAGGAGGCACAACAAGCCTCTTCTTCCTCAGGTGGCTCAAGAAATTTGGCATGTCCAAAAGGTCCCTCACCAACGTCTACAGGTGCACCATTGAAAGCATACTGTCCGGGTGCATAATGGCCTGGTATGGCAACTGCTCTGCCCAGGACCGTAAGAAACTACAGAAGGTGGTGAGCACAGCCCAGACCGTCACAGAAGCCAACCTTACATCCATGGACTCTATTTACATGGCCCACTGTCGCAGAAAGGTGGCCAGCAAAGACCCAACCCACCCTGGTAATGACCTCCTACAACATCTTCAGTCAGGCAGAAGATACAGAAGGCTGAACACACGGCAGAAAGCAGATTCACGAACAGTTCCTTTCCAGCCATTATCAGACTGTTGAATGGAATCTAGCCTCAAAACACGTAAGCTGCAATGTAGCTTGTATGCTTGTAAGTCTTTTTGATCTGTACATCCTTTGCTTGGTGTGATCTGCCCTACTGCTTGTAAACAAAGCTTTTCACTGTATTTCAGTACACGTGACAAAAAAAAATCAAAATCAACTGAGCAATCATCAGCAAAAATCCCCACTTCTGACCTTGTAATGGAGAGAAGGTCATTGATGAAGCAGCAGAAGATGGTCAGACCTGGGACATCACCCAGAAGAATTCCAGCTGGGAGGTTTGGAGCTGACACAACAGACCTCCGATAGCCACAATCATATAAGTTAGGGCCGTTTTGTTGAGAAAATCTGAGTTTCAGCTTTTTTCGTCATACTCCCTCTTCAGTGACAGAACACAAAGCGAGAACCGTTTTGGTGACGCTCTCAACTAAAACTGTCCATAGAAAAGAGGAAGGGTCACCGGACCCGAGACGTTAACTCTGATCTTGTTTTCACATACGCTGCCAGACCTGCTGAGCTTTTCCAGCAACTTCTGTTTTTAATTCATTGAAAAGACGCTGTCTCGGAGAGAGAGAACTAACACAAACGAAAAACACAGGTCCTGTCAGGAGTAACTCCAGTTAGTTCTTAAAAAGAATGGAGATGTGCGTACTAACTGTGGGCGAAAGAGGAACTTAGCAAGTAATTTTAAAAATCTGAACAGCGAAGGGAAGCTGTTAGCCGACTATCGGCTGGATATTCAAGACTTACCAACAATGGGTCTCTGGTTGAGGTCGAATGAGTGCAGCCCGGGCAAAACGCAGCAGGCGAACAGGAGCAGTTCCAGCACAGTCATCGCCATGGTGATCTTCCTGACTGGGAAGCCCGGAAGCGGCTGACATTCTGCAGGAGGCGGTCGATGCGAACAAGGGAAGTGAGTGGCTGTTCGCCTTGCCTCGCTGGCCGTAATAGTGCTGCTTGTGGGGCCAGGTTAAACCGGGGATCCCTGAACTTGTTTGGGGAGCCAGCTAGCTGCCTTGGCTAGTGGCGTCACAGGGGAAGGTATTGTCCCGCCTCAGCGTTATGAGCACAGGCAGAGGAGGCACTTCCTAGACATGGTAGCCTAAACTAAGCAGCGCCGCCCGTGCAGCGAGGCCCCAGCACCATGTGAAGCGGGCTCGGGGGCCACAAGTGACCAGGTAAGAGCTGGCCTGGCTTCCACCGCGACTGCGGCTTCCTCCGGTTCAACAGCAACTGCATACGACCAAATTGCAAACACCCCCCTCCGAGTTAGTACCCTCCTGCTTGTAGTTGAAGTGAAAGTTTGTCTTACTTTCATTTTCCTCTTCAGAACCATCCTACCCTCGCACTCCAGACACATCGCCTTTTGAACAACTGTTATGTTCGACCAGGCCCACAGTCAACGGGAGCTGGGGTTGGGGTCTTCACCTCTTTCACGCCCAGTGTAATTCAAATTCATTCTTCAGCACTTTTCCTCGTTTCAGGTTATCAGACCTGGAGATTAGCAGCAGTTTTCATTGTGTATTTCGTTGACGTCCATTCGTCACATCCAGCCAATTGCGAATCCAGATGTAACTAATTAATTCTAATCCACAGACTATTTTTGTCTTGGACATGGAATCTCAGTGGTCATTTGCACAGTATATATTGTTTTCATCTCTCTGTCTTGGTAAAATGGTGAGAAGTAAAACAAGAGTGTGACTGCTACTTGATTTAGGTTTTTCTTTTGAGATTCCTGACTAGTAGTGGACATTTCACGAAAAGTATTTGCGAACTGCGTGGAGCTGCATCAACGATTGTATGTTGGGTTTTAAAATTGCAATACCTCTGGGTAAAATCAGGAATATAGCGACAGTGTGACCATGAATTTCACCGATATTCTGGTGAGAATCTGAGCAAGGATGATAAACGGTTGTGGATGATGCTGGCAGAAGTTCCCACTCTCATCTTCACCAATTTATTTCCCGCCACCTTTTCAGCTTTTCACTCCTCATGTCATCATCTTTGTAAATTTTCGACTGTTTGCAAAATGACCTTAAAATAAGTCTCCCTCACTCTGCCTTTATCTTCAGCTTTTTTTTGAAATGTAGTTTATCAACAATGTCCATCCTTTTTAAGGATACAAAGCTGATATCATAGCTTAATCAACAGTCTACTTTTCTGACAATCAAATGATTCCAAGTCTTGTACTCCTAAACCCCACAATGTCAATAGTGGGGGATTCAGTGTGTGGTATTGACATTGAATGTCTAAGGGCAATTTCTCCTGTTGGAGATAGAAATCAACTAACTGTAACTTGTGCAAAATAAGGGGGGAGCCCAGCACATGAATACAAAAGATAAGGTTGAAGCATTTGCAATGATCTTCTTCCAGATGTACCAAATAGATGATCCATCTTGGCCTCAAGTGGAGGTCCCCAGCATCACAGAGGCCAGTTTTAATTCACTCCATTCACAATTCAACTCACTCCATGTTACATGAAGAAATGGCTGAAGGCATGGGATACTGCAAAGGCTATGGACCCTGACAATATTTGTGCTTGTGTTTCAGAACTTGCCACATCCCGAGCCCAGCTATTCCAGTAGATGGCATCTACCTGGGGATGTGGAAAATTATCCAGGTACGTCCTGTATACACACAAGCCAAATCTAAACTGGCCGTAAACTACCCTGTCAGCCGACTTTGGATTGACAGTGATCAAAGGGGGCGTTAACAGCAATATAAAGCAGCACCTGCTTTGTAGTAACTGGCTCACTGATTATCAGTTTGGGTTCTGCCAGGGCCACGCAACTCCTGACCTCGTTACAGCCTTGTTTAAAATATGGACTAAAGAGCTGAATTCCACATGAGGGAACAATGACATCAAGTTCACATTTGACCCTGTGACATTAGAGTTAATGGGAATCCAGGGAAACACTCATTGCTGCTTGAAGTGAGACCCAGCACAAAGCAAGATAGTTGTGGTTGTTGAACGTCAGTCATCTTGGCTCCAGGACATCTCAACAGGAACTCCTCAGGGTGATTCATTGGTCCAACCATCTTCAGCTGCTTAATCAATGATCTTCAGACAATCATCAGGTCAGAAGTTGGGATGTTCGCCAATGATTGCACAAAATTCAGCTCCATTCACAAGTCCTTAGATCCTGAAGCATATCCAAATGCAACACGACTGGACAATATCCAGACTTGGGTTGGCATGTGACAAATAACACTTGCACCATGCAAGTGCCAGCCCCTGACCATCTCCAACAAGCTAGAATCTAATCAGTGCTCCTTGACAGGCATTGAAATTCATTTACCACTTCTAAGTTCTTTGAGAGGCAGAATGTCTTTTTCATTTGAAGGCAGCATTCCATTAGTGGTGAACGACATTCCTGTTGGGCATTATATTTTTGTGTTTTGTTTCTATTTTTATACTCTTGAAGATCATTGTAGTGTGAAACTAACTTCATATCCTGCTCAAACTTGTAGCAGTATGTCACACTGTGTGTACTGGAGCGTACATGTCTTAATACACAGGCCCCTGTTCCATGAAGCCAAAAAGAACATGTACACACATTGTGTATATTTCAACTCAACAAAATAGATGATATCCATCCTCTGGTTCATTTCTCATGGCAACATTTTGACCAATCAGAGTCAACCTGCCTGCTTTAAAATGTAAACAAAGCTTCGCTGTTAACCTTCATCATCACAAGCTGGTGCATTCTTCATGGTAATACATCTACCAATCAAAGTGCATATGCCAACCAATCAGAGCTCCCTTTCATACAGTATAAATGATGTTTTCTTTTTTATTTGGTATTTCTTGTAAATTGTACAAATGAATGCAAGCTAATAAACTTTGACAAAATGTGTCTTTTTCCAGCAGTGCTAAATTTCTGTAGTACCAAAATACTAGAAATGAACATCATAATACAACAAAGAACTGTGGATGCTGGAAATTTGAAATAAAAACATAAACTGCTCGAGAAACTCAGCGGGCCTGACAGTGTCTGTGGAGAGAAAGCAAAGTTAATTTTTTGACTCCAGTTCTGAAAATGGATCGCTCGACTCAATATCACATCTACTTTCTCCCTACACAAACGCTGCCGAACCTGCTGAGTTTTTCCAACAATTTCTCTTTTTGTTTGTGATGAACATATTGTTTTGGATAGAATTAGCAACCTTGCACATGGATAGGATACCCCAATTGAATGTTTTCCACTCAAAAATTTTTAGGAAGCTAGGACCTGTTTTACACAAGTCCCTTTCCTGTATCTTGAACAGTTTATTGGAGTCTGGGTTTGCTCAACTGGAAGGAGGTGAATATAGTCTGAAGAATTTAAAAGATGGTTGCAGCTATTGGCTAATTTGTTCTATATCATGTCGGATGCTAGAGACAATCAAAATATGACCATTTGGATAGAGGGGGAATATCAGGTACAGCCAATGTAGCTCCAAAAATACAAGGTCTCATCTTATAATTTTGATTTTATATTTTGTCAAATCACCAAGCTAATAGATATCTATGGAGATTTCTAAAATCTTCTCACTCAAAAAGGGCAATGTAAAAGTCTTTGGTATTCTTAGCAATATTTTGCACTGGTCTGGAATTTGCTTGGAGTTCAAAGTCTTTGCTGTGTCATGGGAGTGCATTGGCACAGTTGTTCATTGTTTTTAATGAGTTAAATGTAGATGATGGGGAGATTTGTAAATTTGGTAAAATTATTGGAAGAGCAAAGGCTACTTAAGGCAGATCAGTAAATGCTTGTTTTTGAGGGAACGACACTGTCCAATTGAACTCCCTCCCTTGGAAAAACTCAGCAGAACTGCTTGTTCAATTGGTCTTGAAATGTTAACTTTTTCTGTCTCCACAGATGTTGCCAGACCTTCTGAGTTTGTCCAGCATTTTCTGTGTTTGTTTCAGATTTCCAGCATCTGCAGTATTTTGCTTCTAATTTTTTCTTCATTCTTTCCTCGACATCCAAATTTTTCCCTCTTGAAATACTTCTCACCATTGAATGGTGTTCATGACTCTGCTGCGATCATCTGTCCAGGCAGTGCATTCCCAATCACAGCAACTCTGTGTCAAAAAAACAAAGTTTTATATAACCTATATATTCACATAACTTTGATTTATTTTTGCCAATCACTTTATATCTGTGTCCACTGGTTTCCTGATCTTTTTACCATTGAAGATGGTTACTTATTCTTGCAAAACCATTGATTTTGAATTCCTTAACAAATCACCTCTTAACCCGTCTGCACCAAGAGGATCAACTTCAGCTTTTCTAGTCTGCCCACAATGCAAATCTCTCATCCCTTGTACTGCTGTTACCACACAGAGACAGACAGCCAAATCAAGTCAGCCTTCCTACCTCTTTATTCACAATGCAGTAAAGTTAAAACATTTGAAGAACCTCAAAACTGACCCTAATATTTTCAACCCAGACCCATTGGTTTTGAAAAACCAATCTAAAACTCTGTGAATAATTAATTATAGACATTGGGTTTGTAGGTCAAACAAAAAACTTAAATATTTATTAATAATAGTGACTTTAGCACAGCAAAATTAAACAACATTATAATTTAATTGATATCTGATTTAAGTCCAAAAACCTTTGTTTTCAGCGCCATTCACACAAAAGACAGACAAACCAAACATAGTTAAAGAATAAGTAAAAGATAATAACAAAACTGGTCAGATTACTTCAGTGGTTTTCACAACACGTTGTTGCTTAGGCATATATGATTGTTTGTTGTTTGATTTTAAGATGATGTTGACCAGTGCCATGTTTCGACTTCACTTTGAGGAAGTCAGTACTACTTATAACTTTGTTTCTGTTCTCTGAATGTGTTACAGCTGATAATGGGAGGTTAGGCAGGGAGCTTTCAAATTTTCATGCTGTAATATCAACAGCCAAACCTCTTTGCAAAAAATCCAGTTCAGATTCTTGCCCTTACCTCTGTTTTACCATCATGTTCCTTTGCACACTTGCTAGCACTAATTTCCAGGTAATGACCTCGTTAATAGCCACACGTCTGCTATCCGGTTAAACATAGTGCTGTCCCCAGTGTTGTGAAGAATCTGTAAAATCCTTTTGATCAAGAACCAATCTGCAATTAACTTTTAGGTCTAGTCTCTGTTCTTTTGTTTTTGGCTTCTCACTGTCGAAAGGACATTTTCAGCTCTCAGTTCATAGCTCCAAACCAAAACTGATAAAAGAAAAAATGAAAATCGTGAAAAATCAGTGCGGGTTCTAACACCATGTTGTTAGATCTCTTCCTTACCCTCTTATAGCCCTTGACATGTTTCCTAAAGTTTGGTATCCAGACCAAGCATAATACTGCAGCTTGGGCCTAACCAGGCCTTACGAAATTTTATAATTTCTTTCTTTTGTGTTCTATTCATCCATGAATAGTCACAGATCCCACACGCTTTTATATCAGTTTTGTGAATTTTTGCTGTCATCTTGAGATTTATCTGCGGAATTCCTCGGATCTCACTGTTCCTGCATCCCCATTAAAATCGTACATATCACCTCCCTTACAAAATTCTTTGCAACAGATGGTGAATATACCGAGGTTTAGAGGATTTGATGAGACTATGTTGTGCTTGTCTGGTCACATTGTTTCAACTAAATAAATTGGGGAGGACCAGGAGTTAAAATCTGAAGTTGTATAAGGACAGAATTATGATGGATATTGAGGCAGTTCTTTTTCCAAAGAATAATTTTGAGAATAGGAGTTGGGAAATCATGTTGAGGTTGTACAGGACATTGGTGAGGTCTCTTCTGGAATGCTGTGCCCAATTGTGGTCACCCTGTTATAGGAAGGATATTAATAAGCTGGAGAGGATTCAGAAGAGATTTACAGGATGTTGCTGGATATGGAAGGTTTGAGTTATAAAAAAAAGCTGGATAGGCTGGGATTTTTTTCACTAGAGCGTAGGAGGTCGAGAGGTGACCTTCCAGAAGATTATAAAAAGATGAGGGGTGAGAGGAGAGAGATTTTAAAAAAGACATGAGGGGCAAAGATTTTACACAGAGGGTGGTTCGTGTGTGGAATGAATGCCTGGAGGAAGGGGTGGATGTGGGTACAATTACAACATTTAAAAGACACTTGGATAAGTACAAGAATAAGAAAGGTTTGGAGGGATATGAGCAGGAGCAGGCAGGTGAAACTAGTTTAGATTGGGATTATGTTTGGCCTGGACTGATTGGATTGAAGGGTCTGTTTTTCCATGTTGTATGACTCTGTAACTCCTTTTGGGTTTGTTGAATCTTTCCAGCTGGGACAGCTTTTACTTCCTACCAAGTCACTGTGTAATACTAATTAGAGTAATGTGGTCTCCCAGATTAGTTGTGATAACTTGGAGGTGGAGGGGGCAGAAGAAACGAGGAAATTTCCTCATAGTTAACTTGTGTTTTCCATTGCTTTTTCCAAGCATTTCTCTGGCTTTTAGTGGTGTGGGGGATGCACTGCCATTGTTTGGGGCAGGCTAGACAGACCACTGTTCATATACCTGCTGTCTAACTGGTGATGCTGCTTGTCGGGTTTTGCCTCCTGCTTCCTCGATCTTCAGTGCAACATTTATTGTCTATTTTATTCATGGTTCCCTTGTCAGGTCTCTTCTCTTTGCTGTCTTATTCCTTGATATTCTGTCCCCGACTTGCTTTCACCACGCTACATTCTCCTGGTTTTTGAATCAACTTTCACATACCAAACCTAGCCCATCTTGTCCCTTGCCCAGAATTTACAATTGTGGAGCTCCAAACCACCCAAGGTGATTCAGTCCTATCCGAGTTCTATGTGTCAAATCTTGCTATTTTCTCATGACAACTGATATCTTTCTGAAATTTTATGTTAAAGCCCTGCACTGCAATTATTAGAGACCCAGTGTTTAATTAAAAACCAGCAGTCCAGAACAATCCACTCTACTGCATGTCCAAAAGTTGCATAGGTCATTTGTGGTTTTCGAGCAGTTAATTTTTAATGGATGGCTGTGTGCCAACTATTTCTGACTCTGTATGCCTGGCAGGTAAGGTTCTAAACTTTTTGTGCAAGCTCTTAACATAACACCATCAGTGCCCCACATTCATTAACTACTACCAATTATCAACTTCCACGAGACAGCTTGAAGCAGTTACAAGATAGGAAAGGAAGCTGTGTGTATTACAAAGTAGTGAAGAGGATGAATTATTGTATGACTTACAAGGCCTCTCAATGGGGCTTCAGCCTCTGAAAGACGTACAAACGTAGTTCATGCTGTAAATTCCACGTCCTCTGAAAATCTGTTCTCTGCTTCTTGTTTATAGGATGCCAGCACTATTCGGGCTTTTCAGTGTGTGCCTCCTGGTGATCACGGGAAGTTTGTACCACCCCCGCCTCCTGAGTGATGAAGTTGAGAGTGAAGAGGTTCAGTCAAGGATGAAGGAGCAGGAGAGCAAGTATAAGCTGGAGATGGAGCGGCTCCAGAAAGAAGTGGATGAAAAGAATGATCCTGAGCAGGAAATGAAGGTCAATACATTGGTAAAAACAGAAAACTCAACACAGATTGATTGGAACACCTGGAACATTCTCTTGATGGTCACAATTCTGTTCTTGGAACTGTGGAGACAGGACACGTGGCCACATACACCACAAGACTATAACAGTGAAGAAGAGGAGGAAGGAGAGAAGGAAAATGAATTTCCTCAAAGAATTTACAGCAACATTTTGAATATTCCTGACAAATGTGTTTTGGATCAGTTTTACAACACGTGTATTCAGAACGTGAGCCAAGAGCCAATGCAGACGTGCGAATTTGTAGAGAGCTTTGTAGACAACCTGTTGGAAGCCTGTAGGAATATTTGCCAGTGGGATTCTGAGCTGATCCTTGAAGATTGTGTTGGCATTGGTAGTCAGTTTGAGAAATGGGGCTGCAAGACACCCTCGGTATATGATATTTTGGTTCCAATTTTTCTTCAGGATGGATATTGCTTTAAACCCGAGATCTGTTGCTGTGACCTCCCACCTGATAAGCAAAGTTATGGCCGGATTGTTATGGTAACACCTGGAAGTACTGACTTGGGTTGCCTGTGTAAAAGTACTGAACTCGAGGGTGATGTTCTTTGTCTTATTCACAGTAAAAGGTTTGAAGCTGATGTTCGTGCAAATTGCCTGGCTTCCATCGTGTGTTCCGAGTGGTATTTGGACTACAAGAAAGTTCTAAAATGGTTCAGGGTTGCACTAGCAAAATCCTGGAACAAAGTTTGTCATAAGTATGACTTTGACCTTTCTTTCCACAATATTACGGGTTGCTGTGGATTAAAAGTCCAGTATCAGTCTGGACGAAACATCTATATTAAAGCCTTTCCTGCTGTGCGGCTGAAGGATTCAGACGTCTATCTCGTATCACGCTTTCCTGATTACACCAAGAACACAGTGCCATCTACTACCTACTGGCACATATCCTGTGCTGTCTGCGAGTACAGATTTCTGAAAATCATGGCAAAAAGCGTTCCCAAAAACAGTTGTCACCTCAAATGCCTTCAAATATTGATCTTTCTAACTGAAAAGCTGCGCAGCTCTCCAGACCAGCGGAACATTCTTGGGTCCTACTTTTTTAAGACTGTCCTTATGCATCTGTTGTTAAGTCAGCCATATTCAAACTGGCATGAGTGTCACCTGGAACATCGGCTCAGAGACATTTTGAAGTATCTTGGAAAATGCTTGGATGAGAAACGGCTCTATCGATTTATGATTGGAAATCAAACATTTCCTAAGCAAATGGGAATTCCAGAAATGCTTCTATATGCAGAGCCTATAAACCTCTTCCGGTCCTTTGTAACACAGCGTGACTCTTACGGTCAGGCACTTATGGAATATCAGAAAATATTAAGGGACATGGGTCCGTTAATGATGGAATGCATTAAAGATAATACAGTCAGCTGACTGAAAACAGAGCCTTTGCTCCTAGGTCGGGAGCAGAATTATTTAACAGATATGTAATATTTACATTTCCACTCAGAGTACATTTAATAGATGTTATTTACATGGCACTCATTTCTCTTCTTTAATACATGGACACATTTCTGATGCCATTTTATTGTTAAATGTTCTCCCCAAATCAAAATGGTTGTGTGTTTTTACTGGCAGATACTTCAGCTCTCCACTTTGACTTCCAATCCTGATAATGCACTCAGAATGTCTATAAGGACATCCTGAAATTGCAAATTTGTTGCAAGTAGCTGTACACTGAGGATGTTCACATGTGACAGTGGACGACTGAATTGACCTCGAAATTCTGAATGGGATGAGTAGGCAGTGGCCAGTCCAGTCCTTGCAAAAGGATTTGGAAAGGGGTAAATTCAGTCAGAAGTCAGTCCCAGTGTATTCTGTTACAGTGATGAGGGGTAGATATTTTCAAAATTTAAACAAAACCAACAACTGAGTTAAACTCATTACTGAGCAAAATTAACAGTCCAAACTTGCTCTGTGGCCATGTTGAAATACTAATGCAGTGATTAAGAGTTCATCATGTATGTGCTATAAAATCCTCACATTAGTATCATTAATCAAGTCCTTTATTTGATGCTGGGCTCTTATCACACACCTCATAAAACATCACTGTAAAGATATGAACAAAAAAATCATGTTTATTCCCTCTGGCCAAGTCTTAAGGATGTTGTTGATAATTGCAGAGTTTGACCGCTTGTTTTTTCTCATTGAATTTCACAGTTCTGCACTTTGTGTTTTTTTGTTGTGAGCCTAATGGTGCATTTTTAAACAAAACTGATATTTGTGCAAGGGCATAACAAGGATTTTAAAAGGATCTTTTCAACTATTGTTCCACCTTTTTTTAAAAACATGAGAGTTCAATGGATGTGTGCCCTGTGGGATGGTAATAAGCTGAGACCTCAGATCTGCAGTGCAATTCCTTATTTGGAGAAATGGTGGTGGACTGGCTTTAACTGGAAGCCCGAGTCCAGCCTTTGGTTGAACAATACTATGTACTTGGGTAAGCTCTGCTGAACCTCTAATTCCTGGAAGAAATATTAAAGTAGTTGTAATTATGATCACTAATTTCTGTCACCTCCAGCATGTTGCCATCTTTATTGTTCCCTGACTGTGCTCCTTCTGCTTTTGCTCTTCTAACTCACATACTTGTTTCCCCAATGCATTTAAATGAAAATTCACCTTAATCTTGGAAAACTTTAAAAATGTGCATTTTTTTAAACCTTTCTATTCCTTTTACAAGTTAGCAATGTTTAAGAAATAATGAATTAATCAACAACATCATTGTTACTCTTTTCAACTTGGCCTTGGACATTTATCCATGGTCATTTTTTAAAATGCAGTGTTCCACCCTAATGTGTACAATAGGGTGCTTTCTAGTCCTCTGTACACTGTATTTTACAATGAATAAACCTGTTATAGCTTCGAACAGAGTTCGCAATTCCTTCTAAGCACACAATTTGGAATGTATCAGTTCCCACAGTCTCAGCAATCTATAGTCACAGGATTGAAGCAATTAATCTGGAGTCAGTTATATGTTTTCCGAATAATAATCAGTCATCTGTTACTCATTGCAGGTGTGGTTGACATATGGAATCAATGCATTTTATTACGTTTGATAATCAGACAGGTTTGAGCATAAATGGCCATTTGTTTGACTGTGTCCCTGCCAAAGTTAGGATAAAAAAGTATCTACACCAAACTTTACCTGCGTACCTATTTCCTTGTTGATCATTGACTAGACTTGCATTTCTGAATTTTTCTCAACCAACTCCATGACACATCTAAAAATAGAAGGAAGTAGCTTCACCACATTCTGCTGGCAGCCTAACATGTATATCTGAGTTCTGGTACATCATGTTCACATAGATGATTATAGAGTAATACAGCACAGAAACAGCATCTTCAGTGTAACTTGTCCATACCGACCAAGTTTCCTAAACTGAACTAGTTCCACTTGCCTATGTTTGGCCCATGTCTCTCTAAACTACTTCTGAGGAAGTGGACCTGAAATGTTAACTCTGATTTCTCTCCACAGATGCTAAAAGACCTGCTGAGCTTTTTCCAGTGGTTTCTGTTTTGGTTTCTGTTTTAGTTTCTGATTTCCAGCAGCTGCAGTTCATTTGGTTTTTATTCTATTTAAACCTTGGCTGTTCGCACACCTGGCCAAACGTCTTTTAAATGTTGTAAATGTACTTGCCTCTAGTTAAGGACCCCAAATAATTGTCCACTTATCCAGATGACATTCAAATATTTTGGAGACCAGTTAGAAATGTCCTGAGAGCTATTTAATATTTTCAAAACATGTATCATGAGTCTTATCAAAGGTGTGGTTTAAAAAGGTCAAAAATTACAATAGTAACTGAGTAATATCTTGATTTGTATAAAGTAGCATAACAAGAATGGAGGGCTGAATACACACTCCAACTGTTGTACATAAATTGCTGCACAAAAGGCAAAACACGAGGTGAATTTTGTATTTTAGTTAAATTGGAAGTAAATTCAAATAAATTGAATGGACTCAGCAGAGTTTCAGATCAGCAGTTAGACATTTTGACCATAAAGGGACATATTTGCACCTAACCAGCAACTGTCAATTGTTTGGTATCTAACTTAAGTTGGGTAACAGCTGGCACAAAAGGAAGATGATGGTGGTTGTTGGAGGTCTAACATCATGGCTGCAACACTTCTGCAGGAACTTCTTAGGGTAGGTATTTTTCTTGACCTTGCTCAGACATGTTATGACACACATCTGGAGCAGATGGCTTGAACTTCTTGGCTCAGAGGAAGGGACATTATCGCTGTAGCACAATAACTAATTTCTCAGGGTAGTGTCCATGTTCCAACCATCTTCATCTGCTTCATCAATGAACCTCCTTCCATCATAAGGTTCGATGTAGGGATGTTCCATGGATGGTTGCATAACTTTGAGCACCATTCGCCAGAACTCTCATACTGAAGCAGTCCATGTCCAAATGCAGCAACAGCAAGACAAGTGACAAGTCAGTCATATCACCCAAGCGATGCCCATCTCCAAAGAGAATCTAGCCCTCACTCCTTAACATTCAATGGCATTATCATCACCCCATCCCCACAGTCAAAATCCTGGGTTTCTCAGCGACCAAAAAGCGAACCGGACTAATTGTTGTGAGCAATATCTGCCAGCACTAGCCATTGGATCAAGGAATAGGAAACACAGGCAGTCATCAACTTTCTTGTGACAAACACGGACTGTTGAAAGGCAGGGTTTAAACAGTCACACTGTGAGTGCTCCTCATGAAACAAGTGCCCCCTGCTTGACCTGAAATGTGTAGCCAACTTCGACTGTGGTCTTTGAACAAATACAAAGAGACAGAAACAATGCTGCATGTAAGTAAGAAGCATTTCTTCAAAGTGGCAGATGAATTACCTCAAACTCAGAAAATGAGACTATTGCTCGGTTTTTGGGATTTGCACTTGCTATGTAAATAAAAGACCTATCCTGTGACACTTTGGTAATGTCTGGTAATGTCACATAAATGAAGAAAGACTTGTTGGAGCTAATGGACTCTCATGCAATTTTACTCAGCAAAATTTGAACATGTCATGTTTTGTAACAGTTATGTGTATATGTAAATATTTTTCAAACCATTATATCACTTGTATTTGAGGAACAAATATTTTTTAAAACACTTCTTTATTCTGCTTTTTCCACAACCTTCAATGGGACTCCCATGTCTGAAATTATCAGGTCATATTCAAAGCTCATGTATTTCAATGCTTTCTGTCCTTTGTTTTGCTCCTCAAGACTACAAGTAGCATCTGATTTTTGTTTCTTCGCAAATGCAAACAGAAAGTCACATGCAAAACTGTCTCCCTTCCACATTGTGCCTGTCCACCCTTTTGACAATTTCTGTTCAAATATGCATTTGCTTGTTGTGAGACTCAGTGCCTTTTCTGAAATAATAAATAGTAATAATAGATGATGCCGATTGGTATTGTCACTAGACAATTAATCCAGAGACACAGGTAATGTCTTGAGAACAAGGGTTCGAATCCCATCATGACAGATGGTTAAACTTATTCAATGAAAAAAATCTCTGTAATTAAGAGTGTAATGATGACCATGAAAACATTGATGATTGTCAGGAAAAAAAGCCCATCTCATGCCCTTCAGAGACGGAAATCTGCCATCATTACTTGTTCTGGCCAGTATCTACAAAAATGTGGTCAACAATTAACTGCCCTCTGGGCACTTAGGGATGGGAAATCAATGCTTGCCAAGCCCGTGATGCCCACATCCTTTAATAAAAAAGATATCAAGTTGCCTCAGTGTCAGTGAACAAAAAACAAGTTTTTTTAATCGACAAGACTGACAAAGACCTTAATCAATCTTAAATAATACTTCCAATGTTTACCACAGATGCTGTGGGATATTGCCTGTGGCATTTCACCCAATGGGCACAGGTCCTAGAGGAGCATGGTTCCTCAATCTCACGCGCAGCCTCTACACCAAAATGCATTTTCACAAATCACCACCAGAGAACGCCAGTGCAAAACAGATAGAATGCTGCAGTGTGCAAACTGCTAATTTTTAACTCCAGCGTTAACATCACAGACCAGAAATTAACTTGTGGGATACAGTCAATTCAGAATAATTCATGGAAAGCAGCACTCACTGCGGACTGAAAATAGTTACTTTTCTACACTTTGACACTTTTCTACATGTAAGACACTACAGATACAAGGATCATGTCATAGTGATAACAATTTTAAAAAATGCTTTTTGATTACTGCGTAAGCTATTTTTGAAACTTAGCAGTGAAATGTGTTCAGTCCTCTGCTAATTTCAACTTGAAGCTGTTCGTAAGGACTTGAGAATGATGTCCCATGGGAATGTTTCCAGGATTTTGGAGCAGAGTGGAAGAAGTGTTTTTTTTTTGTTTGCTTTTGCGGTTCACAGAATGTAAAGTCTTTTAACAGGGTAAATTGAAGCCCTGGATTGGGGGCCCAGCATAAAGCAAAGAGTGCCATCACAGCAAAATCATAAGTTCATTCGTTGGTAATAGCTGCTGCTTTGACTATCTATTGTAAATTATTTTCAGATTAAAGGTAAATAGGGGAAATATTTTACAGAATAAAATCAATGAGACCAGTAGCAAAGTTGTAGAAGAACAAACTGTCAACTAACTGAATAAAATAGGAAATGCAGACTCAGCTGATGTGTTGTATCTGCATGATGTGGGAGCTGATGGACCTCATTGCGAATCATCATGACCACATCTGTGACAAGTGTTGGTTGCTTTAGAAACTCTGGCTCAGGATTGATGAGCTGGAGTCTCAGCTGCAAACACTGTGACACGGTGGGGGGAGGAGTTATCCGAATACAATGGTCAGGAGGCACTCACTCACTCAGATTAATAACCTCGAATTTAGTCAGTGGTCTGGAATAGAAGGATGTGAGTGAGGCAAGTGGAGGGATCTAGGAGATAGTGCTGCAGGACCCTTGGCCTTTAAGCTTGTCTACAGGCTGAGATTCTTGCTGTTTGTGTTCACAAGAGTGGGGCTCTGGGGAAGATGAGCAAACTGACCACAGTGCCATGGTATATGAGAGAGTGGAGAAAAAACCAAAGTAGTTGTAATCAAGAAAGTATAGTCAGGGAATAAACACTGTTCTCTGTGATAACAAGGTGTAGAGCTGGATGAACACAGCAGACCCTTCGGGTCTAGGCCCGAAACGTCAGCCTTCCTGCTCCTCTGATGCTGCTTGGCCTGCTGTGTTCATCCAGCTCTACGCCTTGTTATCTCAGATTCTCCAGCATCTGCAGTTCCTACTATCACTGCTCTCTGTGGCCAGGATCAAATCTCCCAAAGGTTGTTCTGCCTGCCTGGTGCCTGGCTTCAAGGTATCTCAGCTAGGCTGCTGAGGAACTTGGCATGGGAGGGGTATGATCCAGTTGTTGTGATCCATTTGCTTCACTGTCACGACACGCTCCTTTCAGATTTAGCACATGTTCTGGTGCCATTGAACCATATCCCCACACCATCCAGATTGTCTGACATGATTGCGAAGGAACTAAAGGATCAAACAGCCTCTAGCCAAAGAATATGACATCATTCTTGCTTTGAGCAGAGTTCTGTTGAAACTGGTTGCAGATGCCAGTTTGTGCACTAATAATAGATCCAAACAGAAGACTGCATGGGAGGCTTTTAACGGAGTGCCTCTACTGGCTAGAGCTGTCCCCTCCTTTTTGCCCATTATTCTGTTGAACTCTTCAAAAGGCTTGATACAACTTACGAACAACTGCACTACTGATATTTACACTGACCATCATCCAATTTAAGATACCCTCTCTGAAACCAAATTTGGAGAGCACTATATGATTATCGGTGTGCAATATTCTGTGAAGGACTTCTGCTGGTCCAAGCGGATGAGGCAGATATCCATCATTCTGTCCTGCACGTGGGCAATCAAATACCCGAGTAGTTCGAGGGTCTCAAAGTCCTTCCGGCTGGCTACAGCCCATGTTTGGTCACAATGGATCACCAACTCCAGAACAGATTTGTCATGATTGGCAAGTAGCCTTGACAGTCTTTTGTCACCCACAATCAACAGTAAAATGGGTCACCATATTTGTTACTACCTCCCTCTACCACTTCCACTTGTATATGCGGGTCATGATGCCTTTCCTAAGGATTTTAACCTTGTAATGGTTGGAAACATACTCTTGTACACTTCCAGTAGGTCTGAATTGATCTACTCCCAGAATCAAATACAACTCAGTTGTAAATCATAAATAAAAAACCAAACGTCTAAAAAAGGATCACTGGACCCGAAACTGAATCCGACTCCAATTTCTCTCCATGGATGCTGCCAGACCTGCTCAGTTTTTCCAGCAATTTCTGTTTTTATTTCAGTTGTCTAGGATTGTGACTAATCTCAAAGGATTTAGCAGCTTGCTGTTCTAGACCAAGGCATACACATAAATTAACGGAGCAGAACATTTTTGTACATTAAGTCTCCTAAAAGTAGGTGATTACTCATCACCTTCATAACTTCAGAAACTGTGATGTTTGCTCCCTGCAGTAGAATACTGTACCCAGACCAGTGAAACTGATAAAGAGTTTCTGACCATATTAATGGCCCCATCTTTGTGACTATTCTCTGTCAGGCTTGAAGTGCACATACTCCTGTCAAAATCATAGGTCAGTTTTGACTCTGGCAAGTGAACCCAAGAATGAAGCATGTCATTTAGGAGACTGGACAATCTGCACTTTAGTGGAAGCAGTCTTTAGTCTCATTTTAAAAATTTTTGTCACTTACCAGATCTGTTATCTGAGAAAGTTCCTGTCCTTAGTATAAGTTTACTCTTCCATACCCACAGCATTCACAAATTTGTCTCATTTGTGCTCAGCTGAGAAAACCACACTGGTTGACCCTGCTGGAATTATTCTGGCTGAATATAATCAGGGGTTCATTGAAAGAGTGAGGTTTGATCTGTCTTCCTTTGGAAAAGTATATCAAATCCATTTCCCTTCCAGGGCATTGTCGCTGCTTGTTTGCTGTAGTTGAGTGCAACGGCGCCTTTACAGTTGCAAATTTTTTACAGTTGCTTAATTTGTTTTCCTTCACCTCCTTCGTGTTTTGCTGCTTCTTCTGTAGTCTTGTCTGTACAGGATGGGAGTTGCCTCTTGTTGTTGATCTCAGAAGTGGCTTAGTCCTAGCTGGTGTGTGAAGAGCTATTATACATAATCTAATTGATGCAAACAGCTTTTCAGCTTTTAACTCTTTGTTTGCCAAAAACCCATGCACACTTATCATACACAATATCTAAAATTCATAGTACAATAAGAAAAAACTAAAGCCATATTTCTCTCAATTTCTCCAATTACATCTGATGTAATATCAGAACAAATTTATACTTTAGTAGCAAACTTAAGAAATTGATGTCCAAGTCTGGTAGTCTAGTGGTAAGGATTCAGTGCTCTAATGCCATGGCCTGCGTTTGATTCCTGGTCAGGAAACTCACAATCTCCTTTGCTAGTTTTGGGCAGCACAGTGGCTCAGTGGTGAGCACTGCCTCCTCACAGCGACAGGGGCCTGGGTTCGATTTCACCCTTGGGCAACTGTCTATGCGGAATTTGCACATTCTCCCCGCATCTGTGTGGGTTTCCTCCAGGCGCTCCAGTTTTCTCCCATAGTCCAAAGACGTGCAGGCTAAGTGTATTGGCCGTGCTAAATTGCCCATAGTGTTCAGGGATGTGTAGATTAGGTGGATGGGTCTGGGTGGGATGCTTGGAGGGTGTGGACTTGTTGGGCTGAAGGGCCTGTTTCCACACTGTAGGGATTCTAAGTAAGTACAGCAGGTCCACACACATTGCTAGTAGCATTAGAACATCATCGGGTTTTAGAAGCCAGAAATATAGAAGATAGGAGCAGGAGAAGGTCAGTTGACCCCTGGAGCTTGCTCTGTCATATATATGATCATGATTGATCCCTCCTTCTCTCCATATCCCTTAATCCCTTTGGACAAGAGCAACATTAACTCCTTGAAAATATACAATGTTTTGGCCTCAACCACTCAATGTTGTTGTGAATTCCACAGGCTCACCAGTCTCCAGGTAAAGAAATTTTCCTTATTTCACTCCTAAAATGGTTTACTCTCATCTTTAAACTATGACTCCTGATTCTGGACTCCCTCACCAATGGCAACACCCTTCCTGCATCTAAGCTGTAAAATTCTGTTAAAATTTTCTGTGAGATTTCCCCCCCACCCCACCTCATTCTTCCAAACCCCAGTTAATATAATCCAAACCAACTCAATCTCTTCTCCTATGTCAGTCCTGCCATTGCAAGAATCAGTTTGGCCAATATTCACTGCATTCCCTTGATAGGAAGAATATTGACTGTTTTCCAAGTGCTCTTCTATGAATTCACTGTCAACGGACTTTTGCACCTTCTTCATGACAATGTCAAAATCATTGGTCCAGAATTTTCGGTTTCCTCCCTCTGTGTCTTATCAAAAAGTGGGGTTACATTGGCTACTCTACAATCTCGAAGAAGTGTTCCACAGTTAAAAGAATCTTGGAAGATGACCACCAATGCATCTGCTATTTTGAGGGCTACTTTCATAAATACTCTGAGACAGAGATTCTCAGGCCCTGGGATTTATCAGCCTTCAATCCCATCAATTTCTCCAACACCATTTCTCCACTAATAGAGATTCGTTTCAGTTCCTCCTTCTCGCTAAATCCAAAATTATTTGTCCTCCTTTATGAAAACATAAATGAAGTGTGAATTTAATTAATCAGCTATTTCTTGTTCCCCATTTTAATAATGTCTATTTCTGACTGTAAGTGACCTATGTCAGTTTTCACTAATCTTTTTCTCTTTACGTATCAACAGAAACTTTGTCAGTCAGTTCTTCTGTTCTCCACAAGCTGACTCTCACTCTACTTCCCCTTCTTAATTAATGCCTTGGTCCTTCTTTGTTGACTTTTAAACTATTCCCAAGCCTCCAGTAGATTTTTTTTGTTGCCAATTTGTATGCCTCTTTTTTGTTTCCCATCTCATACTATCTCTAACTTCCCTTGTAAGCCATGGTTTCGCCACTGTTCTTCTGCACTCTTGTGCCAGACAGGAACAAAGTTTTGTTGTTTTCCCATTTGCTCTTTGAATGTTTGCCACTGTCGATCCACTGTCATTCCTTGCAGTAACATTTCCCAATCCATCAAAGTTAACTCCTACCACTGTAGTTTCCCTCATTAAAAATTCAGGACCCGAGTCTCAGAACCAAATACCTCACTCTCCGTCGTGATAAGAAAACCCGATCACATTATGGTTGCTCATCCTGAAGAGGTCTTTCACAACTGCTTGACCAATTATTCATTTTTCATGACATTATACCCAGTCTAAGATGGCCTGTTTTCTTGTTTCCTAGTCAATGAAGTCAGAATTCACACGAAACCTGGTTATAGTCCAACAGGTTAATTTGAAATCACAAACTTTCTGAGCACTGCTCCTTGGTCAGGTGAAGTCGAACGTGATGAAGGAGCAGTGCCCTGCAAGCCTGTGATCTCAATAAACCTGTTGAACTATAACCTAGTGTTGTGTGACTTCTGACTTTGTCCACCCCAGTCCAACACTGGCACCCCACGTCATGGTGACTAGATGGAAAGCGGCCCTTTGGCCCATTGCGTCATGTTGGTCACCTATCTACTCTAGTCCCATTTTCCAGCACTTCCTCCCTCAGCTTGTCTGCCATGGTATTTCAAGTGTTCATCAAAAATCTTCTTCAATGTTGTAACGGTTTTCCACTTCTACCATCCTTTCAGGCAATGAGTTCTGGATAGCCACCTCCCCGTGAGAAAAAAATTCTTCCTTGAATCCCCCCTATAGCTTCTGCTCCTTGCCTTGAGTCTTTGCCTCCTGGTTATTGACCTCTCTACGAAAAAAAGGTTACTTCCTATCGATGTCCCTCCAAATTTTGTATATTTCATTCAAGTACGTGACTCAACCCTCTCAAATGTCAAGAAAGCAACTTAAGCCCATCTAGTCTCTCTTCATTGTTGAAACACTCGAGCCCAGCAAACATCCTGGTGAATGTCCTCTGCAGCCTCTTGAGAACAATCACATGCATCCTATACTGTGCGACCAGGACTGCATACAGTCCTCAAGCTGTGGCCTCTGTAATGTTATATACAGCTCCAGAACAAGCTCCTTGCTCTTGATAAGTATCCCATATGACTTCTTCACAAGCTTGTTCACCTATCATGTTGCATTCAAGGATCTTTGGATAAGGAAAGCAAGGTCCCTCTGAATGTCCTTCGGTCCTACTGTATGTTGTGAACCTCTGAGCCATGGCAGTCTTCTCAAAATGCATCAGCTCACTGTTTTCTAAATCAATTCCCATTTGTCACTGTTCTGCTCATCGGACTCACCCCAGTCACAAGAACAACCCTTGACCATCATCCTCAGCTTCCTGCCATGAAGCCAAACTTTGGATCCAATTTGCCAAACTGCCCTGGATCCCATGGGTTCTAATCTTCTTGATGAATCTCCATGTGTCACCTTGTCACAAGTTATTTCGGTTTTTAATACAAGTCAAAGAACCTGCAATCAAACCGTTGTACTGTTATCAGTTTTGTTAGAGTGGTTAATACAATCATTGAGACATGAAAGAAGCATTCATACACTGAAGTAAGTGCAAAGAAGAGTTGCAAACTGATCAGTCACCTCCAGAGTCTGATTTATAAAAGGACAAAACTGAGGAGCATTCAAAGTACAAGTCTGTTGTGCCTGTCAATAAAATCATGGTTAATCCACATCTCACTATCACTTTCTCGCTTTTGCTGCAGATCCACCATACATACGTTTGCCAAAACAACATCTTTTCATCTTGAGAACTCCAGTTATCTCAGAATCCACAGCGTTTTGAAAGACAGAATTCCCAATTTGAGTTTGTACCTTTTGTCATGTGGAGTACACTTTCATACCGGTGTCAGGAAATTTCCGGCTGCAGGCCGGAAAGTCTTCTCACACTGCATTTGATAAAAGGCCTGGAATTCTCAGATGGGGCATTGGAGATTTTCCCCCCGCAGAAAAAGAAACCTCTGGAATTATTGAAGAAACAATTGGACTTTGAAATGTGGGGTCTGACGTGAACGTTTGAAGAGGGGCCGAACGGCCTTCTTCGTTCTCAGTCATCTTTCAGGAATGATATCAGACGAACACTGTGAAGGTCGGAGAAATTCAGGCGAAGACACTCTTCGGTGTTTGCCCACGGATTTCTGTCAGTTTTCCGGATAATCCGCTTTTCCGAAAAGGCTGACGGCGCACTCCGTCCGTCGCAAGAGTGCAGACGCTTAAGACACTACGCGTGCGCGGAGCGACCCCGTCCCTTTCCCGGCGAGCCGCGCGTGCGCGGAGCGTCACCACCCCGGGCACCTCCGGCGAGCCGCGCGTGCGCACTGTCGAGCCGCGGGAAAGTTTGAATTCCGATTGAAGTAACGGCATAACCGAGCGAGATCCCGGTCGTCATCTTCCCTCTCCGACCCCGGGGTGGGATACAACGACGTTGAAGAAAATCGGACATCTGGATCACTCAGGTCAGTGCGGGCCCGGACGATTTGAGGAGGCCTGGAGATTGTGTTTTTTTTCATTGTTCGCCTATTGCATTTGAGCGGGCGGAAAAAGTTAGGCCGCAATCGCACCCCAAATCTCTCAGAAACATACACGTACGCCATCTTTTAACATCTGAACGGAGCGGGTGTGAATGTTTTCAACCGACACCCGGCGGACCGAGCGAGTGGTCGGTCAATCTGGCAGCATCCGTAGAGAGAAATCAGAGTTGTGAGTCCTGTAACCCTTCTTCAGCACGGGTAGAGGTTCTGAAGAAGGGTCACTGGACTGTAAACATTCTTTCCACAGATGCTGCCCGACCTGCTGAGTTTATCCAGCAATTCCTGTCATTGTTGTCAGGTCTCGGTTGACTTAGGGTTCCTATTAGCAACTGCGTTCCTTGGCGTCCGGGGTTCATGGACGCCGCTAGTTGCAGAGACGTCTGCGACTGTAGAAAGAGACTAGATGAATGAAAATCGTGACGACGAGAAGTAGATCAAAAAAGCTTCACTGTAATGGCAGTAATTAAGGCGGCACGGTGGCTCAGTGGTTCTCACTGCTGTCTGACAGTGTCAGGGTCTCGGGTTCGATTCTACCCTCGGGCGTCTGTCTGTGTGGAGTTTGCACATTCTCCCCGGGTGCTCCGGTTTCCTCCCACAGTCCAAAGACGTGCAGGCTCGGTGGATTGGCCATCCCTGCAGTGTTCAGGGATATGTCGATTGGGTTAATAGGGGGAATGAGCCTGAGCGGTCGCTGTGGACTTTTTGGGCCGAAGGGCCTGTTTCCACACTGTAGGGTTTCGATGGATATCAGAATTCACATGGTAGCTGAGCGTGAAACTTGAGTGAAGATATTAAAGTGGTTTATTTGGCTGGGTGAGGCACACTGAAGGTGGCATGAATTAGGTTGTAAAGCAAACCGGAAGAACTGCAGATGCTGTAAAACAGGAACAAAAACAAAGTTGCTGGAAAAGCTCAGCAAGTCTAGCAGCATCTGTGAAGGAAAAATCAGAGTTAACATTTTGGGTCCGGTGACCCTTACTCAGAACTCCTCTGTAAAGGAGTCAGGTAGGTTTGTTAAAAGCCATTTAAATGTACGTTGGAAGGAGAAATAATGGTAAATGTGCTTTAATGGCTCATCCATCTATGTAAATACACTGGAATTTTGGAGGAGAAGAACCAGATCATGACTTCATGATCTGCCTTGGGAGACCTTGAACAGGTCAGACAGATGTAGGGAAAAGTGGAAACTATTGATTCCATGACTTCAGCTTTTTGATGCTCTTTTGCTTTGACGTTCTTTTGCTGTATTTGTTTGTCGCAGGGCAAAATGGATTCTTTGACCTCAGTTTCTCAAGTGGGGTCTTCTGACCACAAGTTTATTTCTCCAGCTACGAAGCGACAGGCTGTACAGAGCCTAAAGACCTCTGTAAAAATGGATGTTGCAGCAAATGATGATGAGCGTGAAAGGAGGGAGAGAAGGCGCTCAAAAGTGACAGACTTGCAACTAAGTGGCACAGAGAGCCCTTTGGTATCCCCAATGCAAAGGTAGGTCTCATTGCACCGTTTCATTCTCGTGTCACTTAGCATGTATTTATGTATCATTGCTCCAGAGTGAACTCTCCTTCTGCTTTTCTTCTATGCTGCTCCTGAACCCTGAGTATTGTCCAAAGCCCTTCCTAATTACGTTACAGCTTGCTTCTTTTGCTGGTGTGATGTGTCAGAATTATTGACTCTGGGTTGTTTGGATGCTGAGCTGTGGACGAGTCACTTTTCACCTTCAAAATAATTGATTCTGATTGTCATTCATTGTTGCAGGGGGACCCCACAATCTTTTGAACCCAAACTGTCAAATAATCAGATATCTGAACACTATTCTACCTGCATCAAACTATGTTCTGAAAACGTAAGTGGATGTTGACAGTTGTTCTGATTTCATAACGGACTCAGTTTTTTCTTTACAATGTCAAACTTGTTTAAAATTGGAACAGAAATGGGCTTCTTGTACCCTTGTGTCAAATATGGACCTGCTGGAATGCATCCTTGGGTACTGAAGGAAGTAGCTACAGAGATAGGGGATGCGTGGGGAGTAATCTTCCAAGAATCCTTTGATTCTGAAAAAGTCTCAAAGAATTAGAAAACTGCCAATGTAATGCCATTATTTAAGAAGAGATAGAGACAAAAAAAAATTAGATAATTTGAGGCCAGTTAAATTTATAGGTTATTGAGAAAATGTTAGAGGCTATTATAGAGGCAGTAATACCAGAGCATTTAGAAATGCATCGATCAGGCAGATTTAGATACGATCAGGCAGAGTCAGCATGGTTAAATGGAATGTTGGTGTTCTTTATTGCAAAGGGAATAGAGTATAAAGGTAGGAAGATTGTGCTTAAATATGCAAGGCATGAGTCAGACCACAGCTGGAATACAGTTTTGTGTCCCTTATCTCAAGAAAGATATACTGGCATTGAAGGCAGTCCAAAGAAGATTCAGTCAGTTAATACCATATATACAATGACTGTCTTGTGAGGAGAGATTGAGCAATTTGGGCATGTATTCATTAAAATTCAAAAGCATACAAGATTCTTTAGGAATTCAAGGGATAAATTTGGAGAATTCAATTTTTTGGCCTTGCAGGAGAATCTTGGACCAGAAGGTATAATCTTTGAGTAAGGGGTTGCATATTTTAAGACAGATGAGCAGGAGGAGAATGAATCTGTGGAGTTCTTTTCTGCAGACTGCTGTTGAGGCTGAATATGTTCAAGTATATTAAGTATTTTCAAGGCTTTGATAGAGAGATTTTTAATCACTACGGGATGAAGGGTTGTGGAGAAAAGGAGTCAAGTGTCGTTTAGGATCATTAAATAAACCACAATCTCATTGAATGATGGAAGAGACTTGGTGGGCTGGATTGCCTACT